AAATTGTTGGGTGGGAAAAGAAAACAAACATTAAATGCTATCAAATTTCACTTATATATTGTGATCATATTTCTTTACGTTGTGTATATATAAACGTTGTTATAATTCTAAGACTTCTAAGAAATCAATATCAAAAGGAACATCTCGGATAGAGTTCGTAATCTTAGTAATGAAGCGTGCCTTAAATTTTGTTTAATTATTAAAAATACTCCCTTGTATGCAATGATGTACGGATTATAGTTCAAGTTAATAGGTTATATTAATAGGGTGTTGTATTGTTTATACGATTTTGCTTTACATCTCAAGATCCCCTGGACTTGAAATTTTTGGTCCAAGGGATGATCAGTGCCCCATATATACAGAAATGCATCTATATATATGGGGCACTAATGCTATTACATTTTATGTAGAGGAGTGAATAGGGGTCATCTCGATTGGAATCAGACTTAATAAAAGTTTCACTCAGAGCTTATAAGCTCTGAAAAACAAATATTATTGGCATTTATAATGCTTTTCAAAACCCATCCCTACCCTTAAAAATAAAGCGTAATCTCGTTGGAGTGTCTGAAACTCGTGCAAGAACCAGCATTTTTTGTATCGAGAAAGTATAAGATGACGTCAAACTGTACATTATTTTTGACAAAACAAATGCAAATTTTATTTTTATATAAAAATGCTATCTTTAAACATAAATCTGATCGTCTTATACATTATAAAACAGTATTTTTATCACGAAGAACAATCATTTTGCAGTATTGTTTTGTTTATGTTAGTCTATATGAAAAAAAATGAATAAATAATGCACAGAGCTATTTAAGCATTATAGAATAACATTAAGAATGCAATAAATTTTTAAAAAGATCTTTAAATATTCTATGCGGGCATAAACATTATATTATTATTTTCTTATAGAATAAAAAAAATGTAATGATTATGGCATAAAATTGAGTATATCTGTTTCTAGCTGGAAATTAAAACGCTTGTTTTTATTCTGTACTTAGTTTTAAACCATTAATTTATTAAAATTATTCCATTATAGATAACTGGTCGTCACAATCACTTATGGGATAAGATATAGACTTCTATCTACAGAATGGACGATATTCATCTGTGCAGTTCAACAATACTATGTTCTACAGGTTTGAATTATTTGAAAAATTTCTAAGTTTAAATGGAAGTTAATGCAAAATCGTCCAAATTACATTAACTTTCATTTCTAATTTAAAACATCTATCATAATAATAATTGATATTATTCAGTAACTATCTTCACAATCAATCAAGAACCTTTAAAATCCAGTAAAATCCAGCACGCACGTCGGGGTTAGTGGCATAAGTGGACAAGGCGGTTGTATGCCTTTTGTTTACAATGTTGTACCTACGTTCTTGCACCTTTATTTGTACTGAGCGTTTAATGGAACCAATGTAAACTAAATCCCTTTGGAACCTGTTGTCCCTCACCGGAACCCTGTATACTCCTGAGACTCTACGTTCATTGGTCTTGTCCTTCCCGTTGAGTAATAACTTATATATCGTGTGGGANTACAATGTAAAAAGCATAAAGTGATGCTTCATGCTGTTTATGAAAGATTGATTGAGGTTGTCATAATTTGTATTAATTAATTTTTTTCATGTTATATTAATACATGAAAAAATGAATAATTTTGATGAAACATTTATGAAAGCTCCTCAAATAACTTATATAGTCTAACAAATTATCTTGAATCTTATTATCTGGTTTACTTCTGAAAATGGATGAATAATCCATCTTCAGAAGTTTTTTTATAAACTTTAACATGTTCTCTTGAAGCAAAAGTCGAATTATTAGGCTGCAATCTGAAAAAATTGTAAACCTATAAATTCCCACTGTCGCCCTTCCTTAATCTGGAAAATGGAGTTAGATAGATGAAAGTTGAGACCAGATATAGAAACCTTAGAAGTAGGAGACCTCATTAACTATATATGAACTTCCCATGTAAACTGGAAGACATGGTTACTTTAATTCAAAAATTTTCGGAAAGGAATTAGATAGATGACTGGCACGACTCTATTGCTAACAGGTAAAGTATGATGTGTAGGGGCAAGCCAGTACCAATTTGAGGTGGAGAGCATATATTTTAAATTAAATAAATTAAAAATATGATTTAAATTGCAGCCCGTCATTGTGACGATGTCACAATAAATGATCGTTCTTGTTTATATTCTTAAAGAAGAAAAATGTTAAAACATACTTTTTTTAAGCCCAGATCTATTTTCAAAATTTCTTTCTTTATAAAAGTAAGTGAAGAAAGAAATTAAATAACTGATTAATCCTTATTAATGTTGTTTTAAGAAATAATTAATTTTTTTAATATCATTTATAACAAGCAAAGATATCTTAACAATCAATTATTTATTGTGACATCATTATAATGCCAGGCTGCAATTTTTAATCATATTATAGATATACAATTTTTTCAAATTGCAGCCCAATCAGAAATTAAAATAATTTTGTTAGAAAAATTACAATATGAGGTAAAATAAACATAATAAATTTTAATTTTAAACTCCCTTTACTTGAATTTTTAAGAGATTAAGGTCAAAATTTATTAAAAGAAACTGTTTTCTTTCTTAATAAATCTTGATTTCATAATCATTTTAGCATCTTGAATTGTAAATTGTTTTCCATGGAGTTAAAAATGTAATGGACAAACACAAAAGGGAAAAAATATATTTTATGTAATGTCTTTTTACTTTTGAAAATTCAAATAATTTATCTTTATAACAATGCTTATTTTACTACTGACTGGAAAAATATTTGGAATAGTTCACAGAGAATTAAATAATTAATAATAATTTATTCAAAACAACTGAAAAACTTTTTACATATTACCTACGAAAATCTGTTCTTTAAAAAGAAATAATTACAATTGACAATAATAATTTCTGAAATACAGAAATTAAACTTATCTATAAATCATCAGCATATACTGGAACTGAAAAATGTATTATTAAATTACATTATATTCAATATTTTTTGTTATCCAGAAAAAATCTTGATTTAGAATTTTCAAACATTCCTCTTTTCATCAATGTCTTATGAAAATATATTTAATATTTAAAATAGTTTATTTTATACATAATTTAATTTAAAATCATAATAAATATAGTTACAAATTATTTCTTTTTAATTTTTCTCTGTTGTGACATTTCTGAAAGTTTTTTATCCAGTTTTTTCTGAAGATGTGCTCTTGTTGTAGGATCTGGTTTTTTGGAAGGTACTCCGCTACCACTATACAGTTTTCCCTGCTTGCGAATTTGACTTCGTGCATGCGATCTGGCAGCGTCGCCGCATCCGTGAATCTCGGGCATGTGATGACTAAGGCAAAAATTATTTCTGCAAAATTCACATCTTTGACTCAAAACACTTATATTTGTTTTGCATTTTGTGAAAAAGCACATGCTGTCTGCTTTTTTTATTTCTGTAAGAAGTGTATCTAAATCTTCATCGATATTTATATCACTATCTTTCTTTTCAAATTTTGGACGAAGTTTCAATTTTTGTGTCTTACATTTATCTTTAGGCTTATCCTGCACAACTGGTTTACAACGAAATATGTGAAGCTTTAAGTTATTTTTAGGTAACATTTTATTGCATATTGGACAGTTTTCTTCACTTTCTGATAAATAATTATTTGCAGAATTGTCAACAACCTCTGATGATAAATTTTTCACATTTTCATCTTTATCTTTAATAAAAGAGTCAGTAACATTTACAATGGGATCTTCATGTTTGGAAAGAATAATGTATCGATCAGATCCTTCTCCATGACTTGAATGTATCAGACCAATTCTCTCTGCTAGCTATTAAGGAGAAAAAGAAATTAAATATTTAAACTCGACACTCGAAAATTCCTCAAAACATTTTGTGCTCGCTGGTAATTTTGTATTAAGTAATTTTCCTATTTGAATATTACTCTCCCATTGGTCAGAAAGAAAGGGGGAGACGGAGGGTTGAAATCAATTCGATCAAAATTAGTAGTACTGCTGAACGAGATTACCCCCGAAAAGTTTCTTTGCATTTGTTCAAACCGTGAATGTATAATGAACAAACTAACAAACTTTCTTTTTTGTAAATTAGAAGATTATTCTAAAATAAAAAAATTAATCAATACTTTATAATTATATTAATTTGAGAATCGTTTCTTATTTCTCATTTTAAATGTATCTTATATGTAAATCGCAATATTTGAAACATTTATTTGTTTTATTGGCAGATCTATATTTTTCTGTAATGGTCTCTAGGCTATATAAAAGCTATTCTCTACAGTTTATATAATACTTAGTTTAAAAAAGTCACAAAAATAAATAAAGTAAAAATAGAAATGGAGATATCGTGATTCGATGAATTGTCACGAAAGTTTTAAACTAGGCGAAGCGAGGGGGCATAGTTACCCTCTAGTGGAATTAAAATTATTTTAATTATAATGGTTACATAAGTTTGATTTATGTAATGATTCATGAATCGTGTTTTTATGTTGTTCTTTANATAATGCCAGGCTGCAATTTTTAATCATATTATAGATATACAATTTTTTCAAATTGCAGCCCAATCAGAAATTAAAATAATTTTGTTAGAAAAATTACAATATGAGGTAAAATAAACATAATAAATTTTAATTTTAAACTCCCTTTACTTGAATTTTTAAGAGATTAAGGTCAAAATTTATTAAAAGAAACTGTTTTCTTTCTTAATAAATCTTGATTTCATAATCATTTTAGCATCTTGAATTGTAAATTGTTTTCCATGGAGTTAAAAATGTAATGGACAAACACAAAAGGGAAAAAATATATTTTATGTAATGTCTTTTTACTTTTGAAAATTCAAATAATTTATCTTTATAACAATGCTTATTTTACTACTGACTGGAAAAATATTTGGAATAGTTCACAGAGAATTAAATAATTAATAATAATTTATTCAAAACAACTGAAAAACTTTTTACATATTACCTACGAAAATCTGTTCTTTAAAAAGAAATAATTACAATTGACAATAATAATTTCTGAAATACAGAAATTAAACTTATCTATAAATCATCAGCATATACTGGAACTGAAAAATGTATTATTAAATTACATTATATTCAATATTTTTTGTTATCCAGAAAAAATCTTGATTTAGAATTTTCAAACATTCCTCTTTTCATCAATGTCTTATGAAAATATATTTAATATTTAAAATAGTTTATTTTATACATAATTTAATTTAAAATCATAATAAATATAGTTACAAATTATTTCTTTTTAATTTTTCTCTGTTGTGACATTTCTGAAAGTTTTTTATCCAGTTTTTTCTGAAGATGTGCTCTTGTTGTAGGATCTGGTTTTTTGGAAGGTACTCCGCTACCACTATACAGTTTTCCCTGCTTGCGAATTTGACTTCGTGCATGCGATCTGGCAGCGTCGCCGCATCCGTGAATCTCGGGCATGTGATGACTAAGGCAAAAATTATTTCTGCAAAATTCACATCTTTGACTCAAAACACTTATATTTGTTTTGCATTTTGTGAAAAAGCACATGCTGTCTGCTTTTTTTATTTCTGTAAGAAGTGTATCTAAATCTTCATCGATATTTATATCACTATCTTTCTTTTCAAATTTTGGACGAAGTTTCAATTTTTGTGTCTTACATTTATCTTTAGGCTTATCCTGCACAACTGGTTTACAACGAAATATGTGAAGCTTTAAGTTATTTTTAGGTAACATTTTATTGCATATTGGACAGTTTTCTTCACTTTCTGATAAATAATTATTTGCAGAATTGTCAACAACCTCTGATGATAAATTTTTCACATTTTCATCTTTATCTTTAATAAAAGAGTCAGTAACATTTACAATGGGATCTTCATGTTTGGAAAGAATAATGTATCGATCAGATCCTTCTCCATGACTTGAATGTATCAGACCAATTCTCTCTGCTAGCTATTAAGGAGAAAAAGAAATTAAATATTTAAATATTACTTTAAATATATAATTTATTATATATAATATTTTTTTTTAAACTGCTAAAACTTTATTGTATTCTTTGTTGTTGTAGTAGCTAAAAAGGAAAATGATAAATCAAATTGCACTCTATTAAAATTGAATAAAAGACGACACATGTTTTTATATGTTTCTCATGAGTATCTGTTTAATCCATTGTACTGTATGCTTAACAGAGACTTTGAAGAATAAGAAAAGTAGGATTTTTATCCATTGTGTAAAAGAAGCAATGTTTACTTAATCAAGTTAAAAACACACTAATATTTCTATTTCTATGCCAGGATCATACATTTTGTCCAGTAATTATAGGTTCTGATAAACCCAAATTTCATTGTATGTGTGTGAATATATAGATTATAACTGTATTAAATGTTTAAAATATTATATTTCATCAATGGTAAGAAGAAATTTACTATAATTTACTATGATTTTTACATTATGTTAAGCACTTTTAAAAACAGAGACTGTCATTCCATGAAAATGTCATTGTATGATACTTCAGTAGTCATATTTTGACATCTCATAGATTTGTATCAAAATATTTTACAAGCTAAGAAACTTTCTATTGAGAGCAGTTTTTGTTGATAAATAGAGAGATGAAGTATACTTTTTTGCTATCCTAGTATGAACTGCCATCAACCATGGATAGCAACAAAGTATAGTAAAAAAAATATAATTATAACAATCACTCTTATTGCAGTAACACCATCACCAATTCAATGCTAATGGAAAAGATGTACTGCAAAAAAGAAGAGTTTGAAATTTTTCTTTCCTGTGATAGTATTACTGAATAAAAAATAAGGTGGATTTATCTCCAGCAATAAATTTATTAAACAAAATTGTTTTCAACTCAACTTGATAGACCAGCTTCAGTTGTAACCAGGGCTGTGGAGTTTAGGTGTTTTAGTCAGAGTCGTCAAAAAATCCGCCGACTCCGACTCCTTTTTACTTACCAACTTGTTATGTATATAAAACAGAAAAGTATTGGAATCATGTCAAATTTGACCCTCCAAAGTTTTTTTGCAAATCTACACATTTGGAGACCTCCTGAATCCCTCAAAAAAGTCAATAAAAAGGGAAAAATTCATGCACATGTGTGTGTTGGCATCTAATTTGTTTAATTTCTTTATTTTCTGTTTTGAGATATTAAACAATATCTCAGAATGGGTAAAGTTTAAGAAACAAAATGTGGCACTGTAGCTTGCATATAAAGGGGCATTAATTAATACTATTAAATTTTGGTTCTTAATTAAAGGTTGACAGGGTGAAGACATAAAAGTGGTCATGTGTCATATCTCTTAATGAATATTTTACTCATTATTAGCGTTCAAAATTTAAAAAAATAAAATAAAAAAGCTTATTTTGAGGGTAGAGATGAGTTTTGTCATTTTATAATAGTAAAACCCATTAAAATGATGATCTCGCCTAAGATGTTAGAATGTATATGGGGACATGATTTAGTTCAACCACTTTGACACTTAATAACTAACTCCTGTGTTAAACCATCTGACCACAGAAATTATTAGGCTTCAAACAGGATGAACAAATTCATGCCCCCCACAAACATTCTAACATCCACATGTATAAAAAAAACTTTTGCATATCTCAAAATTTCAAGGTGTCCTGAGTCCAAAAATGTAAAAATTTGGGAGGGGTCATTTTTTTGACCGAGTGCTGCACTATACTTTTCCTCTGTTATATATAACAGCTGGAAAGTAAAATTATCAAATATATATTTATATATTACTTAGACGAGTCTTTTAGCTTTGGAATAAAAAGTTTCTACGCTCTATCTTTATTAGAACTCTATTTATTGAATCTTTTATTCTGAAGTCACGTGATGACATCAGAATTTCTGGGTCTCTTTTGGTAATAAGTCCACCCCTGGTCAGAGTTGCATGGTAAGGAAAAGTCGGAGTTGGAGTTGGTAGATTTTTACGCGACTCCACAGCCCTGGTTGTAACAAAGAATAAATAGAATAACGCTTTTAGAATAAATTCAAAATTTGTAACTGTGCATTGAAGAATAATTTGTAATGTATAAAAATATAAATTAATTATGCTGAAATCTGAAAAAATTGTAGAGCTATAAATTTCCAGTGTTGTCCATCTGCCTGTCTTTCCTTAATCTCAAGAACGGAGTTAGTGGATGAAAGCCTAGATAAATATGAAAAGGAGTAGGAGGCACCTGATTAATTATACATGAACTTCCAGTGAAAACTGGAAGTCATGTTATTTCAATTCAAAAATTTTCTCCTGAAAGGAGTTAGATAGATGACTAGCATGACTCAATTGCTAACAGGAAAAGTATGATGTACAAGGGTAAAACACTACTAATTTGAAGTGGAGAGCATATATTTTAAATTAAAGATAATATCTTGTCGCAATAAATAATTGCTTTATCATCACAATGCCAGGCTGCAATTTTTAATCATTTTTAATTTATTTAAATAACTTCCCATATCATTTATAATTGTATTCTGTGTAGTAATTTTATGACATTGATAAAGAATCCACATCATGATAATTGATGTAGCCTTGTATATTTCCAGCATCAAGATGTTTTAAGTTATAATGGGGTCATCCATCAGTCTTACTATTTTAGTAACCTCCCAATGCACTTCAATATTGGTTTCCATAGCTTATGCAAAAAAGAGCTGCATTGACTATAACTTTGTATGTAGTCCATTTGCTCACTAATTCTTATGGCACAACAAATCAGATGTACTGTACAACAGTTTCCCCATCAGATTAATGACAACCCTTATGATCAATGACTATAATTGGAATGACAAAGCAACACAGAGGTGCATATTTTTGGGCATTAATGTCACCTTCAAGCATAGAGCAATCTACACAGAAGTTTATCAACAACCAAATTACCACCCAGTTTTCATACCATACCAATCCTTTGACCCACCCTTCCCATATCAACATTTGTTTCAGATCCTTAATCACAAGAATGCACATATTTCTCTATGGCCATGGATGATATTCTATCAAATTGGTTAACTCTCTCATCAATTTGTTTACAGAAAGTCATAGCACAACATGTATTTAAAGTAGAATAAACAATTGTTTTGAAATACTTTCTTGCCTTCACAAGGTAAGAAAGTATTACATAAGATGGTAAAGAAAAGCAGAAACATCACCTTCAAGTACAAACATAATTCCACAGTTTTTGAAATACAATATTATGCAATGATAAGCAACCCCCCTGTAATCTTTCCAATGCAGCAGGAATTTATTCCATACTTATGCACAACAACCAATACATCAGGGCCACTATACGGAATCTTGCCAGTAGAATTTAAAGACCACAAATGGGCTATACAAAGTTACAAGTAACATCACACTCTCTGCTTATGCAATGAAAATCAATACTGAAGTACAATAGGAGGATGCTAAAACAGTACAATTGATGAGTGACCTCTATAACTTAAAACATCTTCATTCTGGAAATATACAAGGTAAATTTTGGACAGGGCAAATTTACATGATGCAAATTCCTTATCAATGGCATGGAAATCACTTTATGAAATATAAATTAAGACAATTATATTTTCTTTTATACATTAATTAACTCCTTGCATCACTTATATGTAAAGGTTATATTTTTTTTTATTAGTGTAACTTGCACATTATTCTCCAACAATATTAATTTGCTATTCTGCATTCGAATAACCATGTTCTTTTTTCAAATTTTGAACACATTCTAAGAAATTTGTTCTTTGTTACAATTGAAGTGGATCAATCAAGTTGGGTTGAAAATGTATAACAGCTGAGAGAGAGAGAGAATACAATCAGTGCTGCCTAATTTTAATGTGAGAAACTCAGTCATTTCATCAATTCAATTACTTTGAATATTCTATGAATTTATTTTCATCACTCACTTTTTAAATGCAAATAAGAAAATAAATACAATGTTTAATGAAACAGCTCTTATTTGCAATGTTACTGTAAATAATTCTTCATAGATCTAAGACATTATTTATATTGGTTATAATTTATATTACTTTTAACTTCATACATTCATAACTACAAGTAACATGAAATACAGTAGACACTGATATTGTTGTCAAAATAAGCAGGTTCCTAAAAATATAAGCTAAAATATAAAATATACTATAAAAATTTCACTTAATGATAATGATGTATGGCAATCCTCTACTTTCATACCTAATTGGTTCCTGAAATGTATGAAAATACAGCTATGTAAATAATATCAAAAAGGGTTTTTGAAATATTTATTTTTTATTGATTAGTATCTGGTGTTTTCTTCATAAATTTGCCAAGAGAATTGAATTGTACTCTTCTTCTTTTCTTGATATAGAGTTCTGTAACATGCTATGTCTTTTTCTATTGCCCTTCGTACATAAGATATACATTCTCAATCAAATGAAGGTTATGAGACCTTGATTTCTTTTTCTCCGTATCAACACTACTGTTTTTTTCATTTTTCACTCATGTTTATGAATTAATAAGGGCAAATTTTTTTATAAAAACAACAATGCACATTAACTAATAGCGCACATCCTAACGTAAACTGATCTTATCAACACAAACACTAACTCAAGACACAATCTGTGACACCAAAAATGGACATGATTAATGTCACAGAGGTGGGGGAGGGACTAGCAACTAATAGTTCGTGAGAAGGGAAGAATCATTACATGAAAGTGTGTGTGTTTCGCCATATATATAGAAAAAAATCGAAAGTATGAAATGTGTACAAAACAGCAAATTGTATGAAAGTAGAGAACTGCCTACTCAATTTGATTATCTTTGGGTAAATAACAATTACAATAATTTAGCACTAGTTGAGACAATGATTTATTGTTATCATCCATAATGTGTGGTTTATAGCCATTTTTTTAAACTGTCTTTACATGTTATTTGCTTACAATAACATCGTTTAAATTGTTGGCAAAATATAATTGAAGTAAGAAATGCCAACAATTTAAACGATGTAATTATATATAACAATAATTAATAATTTATGTATAAAAACAACCTACCTCATGGACAATTCTCCTTTCATATGAAGATAATATTGTAGGAAATGTCAAAATGTTTTCTTCACTCTGAAGAAAAGCATTAATTTTCATCTGCATCTCATTTTCAATTGTTTGTCTCTCTTCATCTACTTCAGGACTAAAAGATTTAAAAATTTATATTAAATAAAAATGATAAATATATTTAATAAATTTTATTTAACACACTATATATTGTGATAGGATATTTTTAAAATGCAATGACTGCATATTGCATTTCAATATTTTATTTCAAGTACATTTACAAATTGAACCTATCTGATTCATAAATTCTATGAAACTTGGCACCATTTTATATGAGAGAAACCAAAATCTCAATAAGAACTGAAAATATTTTTGATTATTACGGCACCAGATTTATTTAATTAACAGCTATTGGTTTCTCTCATCATATCTTATTTTTTAAATAATTTTGTCAATTATTATTATTATTATTATTATTATTATCTGTAATGATTTTTTTTAACAATAAACTGAGTGAGTGCTTTTTGTAGCTGAACATACTCTCAGGCACAATTATAAAAGTGATAATTAGTATTATATTTCTTGTATATAATACCATTAATTTTTCCTGAATAACTTACAATTTCTTTTATAATGTAAATATTTACTAAGTATGACATCTTGTTTGATGAATTCTATTAAATATTAAATAAAATTACAGCCTAACAGTCATATAGGCCAAGTTGCTTGCTGATGAGATTGAAAAAATAAAGCAGTGTAACTCTAATTAGCATGTATTGTTCAGAAAGAAATCTAAAAAGAGTTTTTTAAAATATGTTTAACATCAAAATTGGTTAAATTATGAGGTAAGAAGAGTCACAACACCTCAATGGTGATGTCTAAGAACTTCAAATTTGTTGCCTTATATGGTAAAAAGAGTAGGAACACCTAGCAAGAAAGTATCAACAATCTGGCCCACTCTGGCTGATGCAATGGCACATCCTGACCTTAGACCACTGTAAATCAAAATCACCTGATTTGACTCCCACACTCAGGGAGAATAAAAAGGGCTTGAACACGATCATTGGGGCAGACTCCAGCATAGAAGAAGCTCTACCTGCCAGCTCCATGATTTATCTTGCCGATGTCATGAATAGGATCCAGAAACATCAAGTTATCTTCACAAGGTATCATACTTACAAATGGAAGTACAATTCTAAGCTTTCTCTCTCTCTCTCTCTCTCTCTGTATATATATCTTCATGCTCCATTAAACATGTAAAACTGTCTCAAACCTAAGTCAAATATTTTATTTCTCATAATATTTGAGTCAAATATTATGAGAAATAAAATATTTGACTCCTCAAGTGAGGTTTGAGACAGATTTATATGTTTGAGATTAATCAATATTATATTAAAGGAATAATTATTCAATATTACTTTTATGTGAGTATAGAGTTAGAAATATTCTTATTAATGGAAAAAAGACTATATTTATCTAAACATATGTAATCTTACTTATAAATTTTAGTAAAAATAAAATTTATTTATTAGAAAATGAATGCAATGGAATAACATCACGATAAACTGAAAAATAAAAAATAAATTAAAGACTTATTTTGGATAATTTTTGACTACCTAAAGTATAAGAAGTATAAATATTTTGTCAGTCTAATTATAATTACCCTTATTCGTATAATATTTAAATATCAATAGTAATGAAGTTATGCAGACAATAAAAAAGTTATTGGTTTCATTGTTCTAACTTTGGAATTATGTACATAATGCAACATAGTACAGAATTATTTTATAAAAGTCACAAGTATGTATAAATAATCATAACTGAAGAAACCAAGCTACATATGCATTAAGAAAATATGAATAAGCACTGATTTCTGTAAGATATTGTATGCATATACATATGTATAATTTACTATCATAATTACTACAGTATAATTTTATATACAGTGGAACCCCAGTTAACGAACGTCCTGGTTAACGACCAAATCGGTTAACGAACTATTATTTTGCAAAAATTTTGTCTCAAATAATGAACAAAATTCGGATAACGAACTTAACGGCTTTTTGTGTCAAATTTGTAAGCTTGCCGACTTTTAGAGAAAATCAGTTAATCGTGTGTCGGTGATGGTCTAGGGTCCATTCGTACATTGGTGATGGTGGAGGAGACAAAGATGACAAGTATTTCATAGTGAAAATCGTTTATTAGAACAGGAAGATGCTTACATATTTGAGGTAGTTGGAAATGGCTTATCTACAGTATTTTCTCTAAGCACTGAAAAGTGGCGTATCGCTGGTCCTACAATAGTGCAAGCTGATCAGTCGTAGCCCCAGAGCGGATGAGATGGGTTCGCTTGGTCACAGAAGAGATGGTAGGTGACAGAACCGCAAGACTGGAGCGGTCCGCGAGACACAACACAAATTTTAGCGGGAACGACTTCCGACTTAATCCAGACGAAGACGACACAGATTAATCGCCATAGAATTTTTAGGAAAACTGCGTTTTGACCTTGATATTCGGGGTTTTTATGGTATTTATTCCTTAAATCTCACCTTACGATTTGTCCTATGTCCCATTCCTCGCTTCCTGATTGTTTTCTTCTTTGTCTCCAGGTGAAAACCGAAACCAGATCAGGTCACGAGAAAAGTTTGTTCCGAGGCGTTTATTCAACACCTGTTCGTCGACTCTGATCGGAGATTGTTGATAAACCTATAAGCCTTTCGCTTCTGCTATCTGTCATTTTAGAACAGTGATTCTCAAACTTTTTCAATCCACCGCCCCCTTTGTTCCATAAAGTTACATCCAACGCCCCCTAACCCATTTTCTCTTGTGTGAGAAAAGGATTGGAAATATTCTTAGGAAAACTTTTCTATGAATCTCACACTTTGTGCCCTTACTGTACATTGTTCTCATCATCTGGAAACCATTAAATGCAATGTTTCCTCTTATCAGCCCCAATTTTGCCTTTGGTCACCGTTCAATACCCTGCCTCTATCATAGATCTATTTATCGTGCCAGAAGGGGGCGTTATTGCTTACTTTGACTTTTATTTTAGCTCAGCGTTTCTCAATGTGTTAGAAATATTCAAGTTGTGACCTTCAATAAAAAATAAAAAATATATAAAATGTCAACATTTTATATATATTCCGTCGAATTTTTATATATAGAATTTATCTTTACCAATGGATACAGGCTTTCAAAATCCATAACGGATCCAACTTCTTCATCCATTAAACTTAACTCTTGTAACTCCTTAACGACATTGGTCGGGTTATGTGCAACAAGATCACTGTTACATAATTGATCTGAAATGAATCTATGTAAACGTTTTTTCAAAATGTACATGGGCCCTCTGCATTTCTCCACCACTGGTCTGATCTCTTTGCCTTCCTTATGTATTTTTGCAAAGGCAAATATTCTTGGAATTACTGGGTTCGGGTTATGAGATCGTTTAAGAAAAGTTAACACGGAACTTAATGGAGCTCGTTCAAGTTTTTTTTTACTCTTCTGTCTACATTTGTGACAATGCTTTTATTTACCCGCTCACATTCTGTTCTTCTAATGTATTTCTTCCAAGGCTTTGTTATAGCTTTTTCTTTCCATTATAACCATATGTTTACTCTTGTCAGCTCGTGTTAGGACCAATTCATTGTCACTCAACCACTGTTTTGCACGTTTTAGCTGTTTTATTTCCTTATTCTTCATTCTGCTGGTGTGATCCCTAAGAACATTCTTCCATCGGAAAAAATCCCTTTCTAACTCGTTAAATTTTAACAATCCTCTTTCCATTTCCGCTAATGAAGTTTGGCAAAAGTTTTCATCTTCTGGAACAAAGTTAGGACCTTTTTGTAGAATTTCCTTGATTTCAGTTGGGATGTGATGGGATTGTCCCATAAAACAAAAGGCGATGGGTTTACGTTTGATTTTTTCTTTTTTGATACTTGCTTACTCAAGATCCATGTCATTTTCTTGATATATCTTTTCCTTAAACTTTTTTGTACCTTTTTCTGTCAACCCGACCACTTTCGCATTAAATTCATTGAGACTCCCCAGGTGGTTAATATATATTTGATTTTCTAATGCAATGAGATCTTGTAGCATTCCATACCTTTTATTTTTCGCAATTCTGATGGATTTACGTAGACAGTCTTTTCTAATTTTTTCTTTCAATGAAGTACATTCCTTTGGAATACAATGGTACCTCAGGATACAACATGAAATTCAAACATATTTTTGCTCCACAATACAAACAAAAACTCACCATATGACATTACATTAGTTCGCAGCGCCATTTTTTATTCGCTTCTGTTCATCAGTCTCAGTCCACGTGTTTGCTTCGTCATGGAAGGATCTCGCTCGATAAAGGAAATCTTGAGGTATTATCAGAAAATGACTAATTTTATTGAAAAGAAACATCCCAAAAAGGTTCACACTGGCCGTAATGCTGCTCGGAGTAATGAAATTTGGCTAAGTCATTTTAGAAATATTTTAAAAAGTAGGCAAAGCCTACTTTTTAAAATGTTGGATGGATATTTTAAATGTTGGATGGATATTTTACCAAGTGATCTCTTTGGATAGATATTTTACCAAGCGACCTCTGTCCAACGAAAGTGCTGGTGGAAGTGAAGGAAAGATGGCAAAAAGCAGTGAATAAAAAATTTTAAAATTATATATAAAACAGAAAAGTTAAAAAATTAGTGTTAATGTAACAATAACTTAATACTAAAACTTAAAAATAACTTATGTTATGTAAGTTATTTCACTTCTCCCTCTCTCTGCCACCATTTTATATCTCCACCGTCGTCTATTCTCAAAGGTAAAGTGCAAATAAAACTACATTTTTTTTAATCAATTATTATTCTATTATGGTTATTTATACATTTCCAACTACAAAATGCATTTTCAGTGTTTTCCTTACTATAGTTTTTTTTAATGTACTACTTAGCTTTAATTTGAATGTGTTTTTCGTGTTGAAATGAATTATTTGGTTTTACATGTAATCATATAGGGAAAAATGATTCACCTTGCAATATTTTCATGATATGATCTCAGTTTCGGAATGGATTAATTTCGTATCCTGAGGTACCACTGAACATATTCTATAAATGGATATCAGGAAAACTTTGTTAAGCAGACATTGCTTAAGAAATTCCAGCTTACTATCCGCCTTTATTAACTTCAATGCCAATTTCCTATACTCCTTATATTTTTGTTCTTTTGTAAAAGAAAAGTTAAAACACACAAATTCTTAATTTCTATCTGCCCTTTATAATGTGATGCTTTTTGATGTATAATTTTTATGAATTTAATACTTTTGTGCATTTAATCTTTTAGGTTTATTTTTGTTTTTGTTTTTTATATTGCCTTATTTTATTATTTATATTAATGCTTTAATCTATTTATTATAGTAATTTTGAATATTGATTGGTTAATTTATTTTATGTTTTAATTTTGAATTTGTAATGTTCAAAAGTTCCGTTTTAATACAATTTTCAAATTTGTTCGATAGCCTGTCACCTGATGATGGCCTATTCCATTAAGCTGAAAACATTTGTGATTTTAATAAATATTCTCAGCGTTATAAGGTGTTAAATGTTTTATTAAATATTTAAAAGAAACTGAGTTTGATATTCAATTTATTAATATCTCACATTATTTGGATAAAATTATATTAAAATATAGGCTTATATTTCTTACCCTTTTAACGATGAAGAAATGTTTTCTTTTTCCTTTTCTGATGTCTGATTTGTAATTTTCTCTTTCTTTGATTTAACCTGCGTATTTTGTTTTTTATTACATTTGGATTTTTCTACAGAAGATTGTACTTTCTTAAATTGTAAATGTTCTGGTCGGTTCACATCAAATTTTCCCAATTCTAAAAATTATGAATTAATTAATTTGTTAATTCTAAAATGTATCATCATCATGTTTAACAGTAATATTATAACCATTAAAATATTCTAAAATTTTTATTAAAAAAATTATTATATATATTATAAAATCTGTTTTACTATTATTATTATTATACATACATTTCAAAAATAGATAAATATAACACTATGACACACATACCTTATGTCTCTGAGAACCAATATTTATTGTTTTACAAACATTTGGTTCTCAGAGAAATAGTGTGTCTGTAACATGAAAGTGAATTAAAAGATGTCTTTATTTCATTAAAATTGAAAACAAAGATTACTCTATTTAAGTTTCTTTTTAATGACCTAAAGTAAACAAAATTCAGCTCTAGAGATCTAAAACAGACCTTTCATAAAATTTATTTCTACTATATGATTAATAAAGAATATTTTCCTCACAGGGAATGAAGGAAAACCAACAAAACACTGGAAAAAACTTTCAATTCCATTTAATCTCAATATTATTGTCAATGGCTTCTTCAAGGAAGTTACAGTATTTATATTTTTAATAACAATATTTACATAAATGCTCCTTGACCTTAATTTTAAGGGTTCTGAATATACTTTCTATGTACTATTTTGTAATGCCTTACAGTGTAGTGATTTGCAAACATTTATAAAATCCTACATTTTGGCATCACATAACTTTTCTAATTATTATTTCTAATGTGTTGAAAATTATTAAACTTCTTAAACCTGCAGATTATTAAGTTGCTTGTCACCTTTTAAGATACTTTTGATGTCAGTAAGAGTGTAATGAAGGAGTGATCTTGTTTTTTCATATAAAGATATAATATTTTGGTGATTATTCTTTTATCCAATATAGATGAAATCAAGTTCTTTTCTTTTTCAAATGCAATCTTAACTTTCTTCATAATGTTCTCTATTAGCTTGTTTGCATACTCAATCCATTTTACTAATTCTTTATTAAAGACAACTTTTCTGATAGCATCTTGCTTCTTCAAAAGCTATTTTTATAAGATTTCTGAAGACAAATGCAAATTAAATGGCTCCTTTTATTTTTCATGAATATATATAGGATTTATATAAAAATATATTTCTTGATAGACTATACATACGAGTCCATATCATTCGGTCCTTTCATATGCTATTGAGGCAATAACAATTCCACAGTGGAGTCAACCTTTCTGCATTTAGTGATGGACTTGTCCATCACTAAATGCAAAAAAGTTAAAAAGTCCTCTAGCGGTAGCACAATGATAAAAATTAATAATTACATTTTTAAAGCATGTGATATAAGATGAGTCCATATCATTCGGTCCTATGTATTATAGTTTATCAAGAAATATATTTTTTTGTAAATGTGAATTCGTCCTGGAATTTTTTTAAAATATATATAAAAATTTATATATATAAAGACTAGCTTAATTCTTTATTGAGCTGCAATTTGAAAAAATTGTAGACCTATAAATTCTGACCGCTGTCTATCTGTCTTTCCTTAATCTCAAAAACAGTGTTAGAAGTTCATATATAGTTAATTAGGGCTTCCTGCCCATAAGCTTTCCATATATGGTTTCATCTTTCATGCATCTAATTTCCACCAGAAGTCACGTTATTTCAATTCAAAAATTTCCCCTAAACAGAGTTAGATGATTGGCATGACTCTATTGTTAACAAGGAAAGTATGATGTAAAGGTGCAAGACACTACCACATATTAAAATCAAGGTCTATATTTTAAATTAAGTAAAAAACCAACAAAATAGCTTACAATGAACAATTATTTATTGCTTGTAAACTGTACATGCTGGACTCCAATTTTTAATCATATTTTAAAAATTTATTTATGGACTTTTTTAACCAAATAGTAATCTTGGCATTTAAATATCTGTAGCTTTAGTTAAAATCATAAGATCTTAAAATAAAAAAAAAAAATAAGCCAAAAATATGAAATTTGAGAAATTAAATGTCTTAAAAGCATTTCTAATATCAACTGTAAAGCTAATATCAGACAAGCATGATTTCATGTCTGTCATTTTTAACAGATGCCATGAGAATGCAAAATTATATGAGAGCATCAAATGGATGTAAATGTGAAAAATGATGCTGGTGCTGCATGGACAGCCTTCTGGATTGTCCATAATACTCTCATGATGCATGACCTATCCTGATGCATGATAGTGGAGCTCATTTAAAATGTAAATGGCCTATTAAATAAAACAGCATACATGTGAATACTTTACTGTGTTCTTTTTTTTATTCCTCCCTGAAATATGCTCAGTAATTTATAACCCTGTAAAATCTTTTCAAACATAATATGTATTATGTTTTTTGCAGTTACATTTATTGTATTATAAACTACACTTGTTTTCATTTTACAACAGAAAATTATTGTCAAAACTTTTTTGACGTTTTTGAATCGTTCAGTTTGTTCGCTTATTCCGTCGCGTGATATGCTTGAAAATGTTCTAATTTGACGATCAATGTTCAATTTAAGAGAAAGATATTAATGTGATACTCAAAAAAACGTGTTAGTGAGATACACAATTATTTAACATTCTCACATGTTACCCAGTACCTTTTATTTTAAGGCTTAATAAATATTATTTCGCTATTACTCTGTATGTAGTAGGTTTTGCCATGCCATAGAAAGGCCGATTTCGTCTCTTGAATTAATACAATTGGATGTGTCGTATGCCTTAAAAATTTCCATCTCTTCCAACCATTTTAGTTGATGAATGTGGGGTGTGGTGGCAATTATCTGCACTTTATTGAAGTCCGCCACTATTTCGGGATCGGTTACATAGGTGGAGAGTGATGTTGTGTGTCTGTTGCGTTGTATATCAGATATATGTTCTTTTAACCTGACCCCTAATGAACGTTTAGTCAATCCCACGTATACCAGATCTCTGTTAAACCTGTTATCCCTTATAGGGATTGTATAGACACCTGATAATTTCTCCATCTTGGATCGATCCTTTTCGTTGCGTAGGATATTGAACAACGTTCTGCACCTTCTGTACGTTATGTTAACTTTTCGTTCTTTAGCAATGGTGCTGTATAGAGACTTCAATAGTGGGTTGAACTTGATAGGTATCCTCATATTTTCCATAGTCTTGCTAATGTTTTGCGTGCTTGCTGTATTGTTGGAAGAAGCCTGTGGTTGTTTGTGGCCCTCCGAGAATTTTTGTATAATATTGCGGTAACTGTGGGACCTGGCAATTCCTTCCAAATATTTTAACTCATCCGTTAGCGCTTTTTGTATGGAAGAGTGCATATAAGCTCGTTTGACCAATGCCCTGAAGGCAGCCATCTTGTACTGGAATGGATCACATGAGCTTACTGGTATGTATGCCGATACACTAGACGGTTTGCGAAAAACCTGGCAAAACCTACTATATACAGAGTAATAGCGAAATAATAATATTTATTAAGCCTTAAAATAAAAGGTACTGGGGAACATGTGAGAATGTTAAATAATTGTGTATCTCACTAACACGTTTTTTGAGTATCACATTAATATCTTTCTCTTAAATTGAACATTGATCGTCAAATTAGAACATTTTCAAGCATATCACGCAACGGAATAAGCGAACAAACTGGACGATTCAAATTCAACAGAGTTCGGATTTATTCAAATTTCTCTGTTCGTTGCTTAGTGTTCAATCCAGCTTTTCACCTGAAGAAGAGCCCAGAAGGGGTTAGGAAAACGTTTGTCGTTGAATGAACAATTAGATACACATCGGTTATAGGTTTGGTACGTCATATTTGCAAATAGTTTAATTTTGAGGGTAGAGATGAGTTTTATTCAAAATTGCAAATGCTAATAACGAGTAAAATGTTTATGAAGTCTGACTCCACTCAAGTTATAACATGCAACCCCTTTCTATCTTCCCACTCCTCGATCTATAACCACCAAAATTTAATAGCATCAATGCTTTTTATACACAAGCTACCATGCTATATTTTGTTTCTTAATCATGAATGATCCAATCCTGAGATATTAAACGAAATAGATGCCAACATACACAGAATTTTTTTTGCCATTTTTGGATTCAGGAGGTCTCAAAACATGCAAAAAGCTCGGAGGATCAACTTTGACACGATTCCAATATTTTCCTGTTTATATACATAAGCTGGTAATGTAAAACACTGTTTTTATTTACAGGATTTACTGAGGAATAATAATCTTTTATAAGGCTATAAATTTATTAAACTGTCCCTTAATAAACTCCCAAATTTTATAAAAATATTAACTTGAAAAAATTTTAATTGATAATTTTGTTACACTATAAAAATTATTAAAACAAAAAGTGAAAAATGATAAACAAACATAATTTAAAAGGACACTATTTATCATTTTTCACTTTTTGTTTTAATAATTTTGATAGTGTAACAAAATTATCAATTAAAATTAGTGATATATTGCTGAAATAGTTGAGAAAAAGTGACTAATTCTCACTTTTTCTGCTGTTATGGGCAGCAACATTATGGTGATGCCAAGCTGTCACATGTTACTTCATTAATTAATGTTTAATTAAATATTTAAATTGTGATGTCCAAAACATCTTTCTCTTCTTGCACATTGAAAAGTTCATGTTATTACATAACTTTGAGGTCTTAAAAATGTCAGTTATGCAATATCATAAATTTGAGAGTGCACAGTCTAATGTGGACAAATTTTTTTTTGAAGTACAGTATTTTAATTCCTTCTGACCCCTCACAATTAACCTTCACACCTTCAATTTGAGGGCAGGTGTTAATAAACCAGCTTAAAAATGAAAACTAAGTGAAAAAATGATAAACAAACATAATTTAAAAGGACACTATTTATCATTTTTTCACTTAGTTTTCATTTTTAAGCTGGTTTATTAATACCTGCCCTCAAATTGAAGGTGTGAAGGTTAATTGTGAGGGGTCAGAAGGAATTAAAATACTGTACTTCAAAAAAAAATTTGTCCACATTAGACTGTGCACTCTCAAATTTATGATATTGCATAACTGACATTTTTAAGACCTCAAAGTTATGTAATAACATGAACTTTTCAATGTGCAAGAAGAGAAAGATGTTTTGGACATCACAATTTAAATATTTAATTAAACATTAATTAATGAAGTAACATGTGACAGCTTGGCATCACCATAATGTTGCTGCCCATAACAGCAGAAAAAGTGAGAATTAGTCACTTTTTCTCAACTATTTCAGCAATATATCACTAATTTAAAAATAGTGAGAATAGTAATCCATTCTGAGGCCTGCTACAACCATTAGAGCACTGGTCATCTGCTTTCAAATATGATTAATACTGAATATACTCTGAAATAATCATTTTTGAGTATTATACAGTCTTCTATGATAAAAATTCAAACAACTTTAATTCAGCAATTAATTAATTATTTACTTATAATTAACTGCTAAATTACAGAATGTTTATATGGAATTTTTATTTCTTGTATAATACAACAGCTTCAAATAAAAACATTTTATATTTAAGCATTTTTTAAAATAATTTTTATATATCTAAGAGTATTTACTTTACCATTTTCATATTGATGAGCTGTTTGTACATCTCCTTCACTGTTTAAATATTCAACAAAACTTTTCAAAAATTGGTGATTAGACACAGTTTCGCTATCACAAATAACAGCTAAATGACGTCTGGCTCTAGTGATTGCCACATTTATTCTTCTATCTTCAGCAAGAAAACCAACTTCTCCTATAAAAATATAATTTTTATATTAATAACAATAATCTGCATTTTGTAGATCTTTATTTATTTACTTAAAAACATCAAGCTTATGCTTATCCAAACCCAAATATGTATTTACATTAACTTATAGTTTTGAATTTATATCCTAAATGCATTCTATTTTAATGTCATTTTACTAAGATGGTAAATAAATGTAATTACAATTTGCATTAAGTGAGCAATATATTAACATGATGCATGTTTCATTAATGCACTTTCATGATTTTATTTAACAAATTTATTCATAAAATTAAGCAGTCAATGGCAGATTTCTTTTAGAAAATGTTTACATTTATAACTAATGTTTATAACAATTTGAATAAAATAAGGCAATTAAATGAAAGTCAGCTACTTTTCATGCTTTTCAAGTGCTTTGTTATTCTTAGTCAATATTGCTTTTCTTGCTTCTAATGAAATAATATTTAAATGTAGATTTTATTTTTCTTAGGAACTAGTAAGCTTTTCTTTTTTCTTTTTTTTATCATGATTATTTTTTCAATGATATATTTGTGATTAATTTTAATTGCAGTGGTCAAGATTTTGAAGCTGAAGATCATTCTACACATATACACCAACAACTGCCATAAATGATTGGGCTAAATTTGGATATAATGATTATAAAAAGCAGGACTCAAACCTGCAACTCCTGCTTACCACGCATACACATTTCCAGTTACACTACCTGAACCTTCAGTCTGATCTCCTCTTCCAGTATATATAAGCTTAACTGGCAACACGTAAGCAGGAGTTGTGGGTTCGAGTCCTGCTTCAGGCCGATTCTTTTCTTCCAGTTTAATCTAAATTAATTATTTGATTCTGATGAAACCGTGTTGTTGTTATTAAGCTGTTTCTTTGCAGACACACTAAGGTGACATATATCAACACTATTAAGCTGTTTCTTTGCAGACACACTAAGGTGACATATATCAACACTTGGCAACTTATTGACTAAATAATAAATAATGTCACCTTAGTGTGTCTGCAAAGAAACAACTAAATTAATTAATTAAATATTATAATTATTAATTTTAATACAAGATGGTGCCTAACGCCTCACTCTAGTGCCAAATTAATTTCTAATTTATAATCATTATATCCAAATTTAGCCCGATCATCTACAGCAGTTGTTGGCGTATATTTGCTTAATATCAGGTTTCAATTGGTGTGTATATTTGTAGATCATTCTACAATGCAGAGATTAAAATAAAATGTCTTTTATGGAAAATTATAGTCAGTTTCAAATTTAAAATCAAATATTTATTGTATTACAGAGTTTACTCTCATTAAAGAAAAATTATTAAAAACCTTCCTTTGGTTGTTAATAACTTTTCCTCATAATGAGAGTAAACTCAATTATATATTTTACAATTTTTATTTTTTATATACTATAGGTATTATGTTTAAAAAGAATTTTTCCTTTAAATTTATTGTTATAATGTGATTATACATATTTATACAACTTTGTACAGAAACTTATTAACAATTTTTATTTGATTGACTTTATAAAAATATTCATATAACACTTTTTCCTCTATTATGTTTTGTAATTCCACTAGATTATGAGGCCTCTTCCATGAACAACAAAAAAAAAATGTGTTTGGACAACTTGTCCTTATATCTGTAATAGTCATCATCATCTACAAAAATATATACATTGTCGTTAACAATCAAGTAAACTATAATAAGTCATGGCTGCATGAAGAATTTTTCATACAATGCACATAACTATTTATTTTGGGATGGTTTAAGATAACTGAGTATGAATAATGATATTCTGACTTTAACCAATGAAACATCATTAAAGTAGAAAAGTATTAACTAAGACAGCAAACCTCTTAACTCACTTCTTTCTATAAACAGCCTTACAGAAAAACCTACTTTATTTATAATATTAGATGCATATGGTAAACCCAATTATTTATATTTTCTGGCTTTGTCTGAATATTCTGAAACATTTTTAACAGCTATGACATTAAATTATCAACTATTTTTATCAAGAATTTGATTACCCTTTTTATGAAGTATGGGAATAAACTAAATCTATTTATTTCTAATCTTAATGCATTTCTCAGTACATAGCTTTCCAAGAAATTATTAATTTTTGATAGAATTTTCTTCCTGAAGAGTTTTCAAATTTTGCAGGTTTATGAAATGTTGGAAGAAGACAGAATTTATGCAGAGAAAAGACATTAGCATCAAGTAAAAAAATTTATTATTTAATTCAATCATGTTATTTAGTATGTTTTTCAGTTACAATCTCTTTTATCTTGTTCATTCATTAAAACTCCATTACTGTGAATATAATATTATAATAGGCTTTATTCCAATATGGATGTTTAAAAAAATGCGTAGAGATTTGTTTATATAAAGCAAATAACACATTATAATTAATTTAATTAACATAAAAAATAGCTTAAATTATCCAAATTCCTATACTTTATTGCTATATGTTTCTTTTATTTCATTAAAAATTATTACCTGTAAAAATGATGAACAAAGCTGGAACTACGATTAACCTGTAACTCTCAACACCATCCTTGCATTTCCAGCAAACACATTTATTAATAACACAAACGTTTTCAGCATATTTCATAAGCTTGTGTCAGGTTCACATTCTAGCTTCAATTTGATAATGTTGGAAAGTTAAATAATCACCTACAGAGTAACATTAAATTTTTAAGATAAGTGATGTTACTTAATTACTGTTCTATATCTTAAAAATTGAATAATCACCTACAGTGTAACATTCAACTTTCCAACATTATCAAATTGAAGCTATAGTGAAAACTTATAGTGAAACACTTATAAAATATGCTGAATATGTTTGTGTTATTAATAAATGTTTCTTAGAAATACAAGAATGGTGTTGAGAGTTACAGACATTATATGTAATTAAACTTTTCTTTTTCTTAAGATGCTGACATGATTATCCTCTACTCAAATCAAGAACCAACCAAACAAACATTTTTAACCATTTCCATTTATTTCTGTTCCTCCAATCCCCTTTTATAGTCCTTTCCCATTCCTTTGACATGTCTATATCACTCCAATCTTTTCTATTCCTCTGTTTGTATTATTTTATTTTTTATTTTCTGTAGCCTGATTATTTTACCTATCCCGTCCAAAAATTCATTTCTATTAGAGCAAAATCTGAAGAGTTATCTGAAAGCCGGTTAACTGAAAGCATTCCAGTTGCAAATTTTAATTTTCGCTAATGCTGTAGCACTGCAATCTTTGGCTATATCTTGGGCTACTCCAATATTTTTTTTGTTGGTGTGTGTTTTAGCTGGCAGCATTGGCACTTTTGTGTAGTGCTGAATCGAACATTTTTGATACTAGATCAACTTCTAAAGTATATTTTTTTTGGTTTTTTATATTTTTCAATATATTTATTTTGTTTGTAAAAAAACAAGAAATAATTTTTAATGATACAATAGCCACAATTATTATTTTAAAAAGTTTATGTTAGGCTTAACATTGATGAAAATTCAACACGAAGCAACACATAACGGAGAAAAATTTCAACATGGGATAAATTAATATATTTTTTCGTACATAATCAGTTATCCAAATGACCTCAGTCCCCAATTGATTCGGATAGACGACTCTCTACTGTAATTTCTTTTAAACAATTAACATATAAAAAACAGTTGTATTATATCAAGCAGAAATATAAAAGTTTAATTGCATACACAAAACTTTCTTTTAAGCAAAATATTAATTACATATCATAAATCACATATTACATTACCTTTAGTATTTGATCTTACAAAAGATAAAACTACAGCTTCCTTTTCTCTTCCTTGAAAACCATCTACTGATTTAATTTCAAGTGTAGGATGTTTGGAAGTCAATCTTAGTCTGAGAAGATCTACCTAAATATAAGTTTTTTTATATTTAATTTAAAACAGATAATTTAATGTATAATTTAAAAGATACATTTGCTAATTTTAGACATTTTATAAATCTAAAAGTTTTAAATGTATAAAATTTTAATATTAGTATATTTTTTATTATATCTTCAACATACACCATTTTAATAATCATGTTTTTGAATTTACTATGTTTCAAATTATGTGGCATATTCACAAAATAAAGATACAAAGTCCTGAAAATATTTCTACAGAATTTTACTGTTAGATTAGTCCATTTGATGAGCCTGGAAATAAGTTAAGATTCGTGATGAATATTTTAAAAAATAAGTGTACATCTATCTGTTCTAAAGGAATAATGAGTTTCTTGAAGCCAACATCATAGTTAAATAACTACCACCTGTTCTCATATGTCATTACATCTCAAACCTCATTGCCATCATCAAACTTTTTTCCAGAGAGATGTTCCTTTAACTTTAGAATGATATGCTTGATATGAAAGCAGGCTGTGCTTTGGATGTTCCAAAACTTCCCCCTCAAATGTCTGACAACTGTCATGTGCAGATGGGTGTTATCATGCAATAGGATATCAATTTGTCACATTTTACCTGTTCAAGTCTTCACCATAAACAGAAACAAGCTGCTGACAAATTTCACTGGCATTTCTCCTTTCATGTAAATGCTGGGATTACAAATTGACAGGGCCATTTTAAACACACTCAAATTGCATCATCCTTATGTCTGCAGTGTGATGGAAGTCACTTGACTTTGACTCTAACAAACATTGGCCGTGCAGCAAACTGATAAAATAATTTTCCTTGAATCTCTACTAGTCTTATATCTTTACATTCTGAATATGTCTCATATTTCTGTTAAAACATTCCATTTTCTAAATTTCTATTAATACAAGCTTTACCTAGTTAATCTTAAAATAATAAATTATATTTTATTTCAATAAATTAAAATCTTCTATACAAGTTGTTAAATTACTTCTGATCAATAAAAATATCTTTATGATAAAATAAAGCACAACTAAGAATTTCAATTATTTATTACATTAACTATGTTAAATTATAATTTGTTTTTGTCCTATATTTTTAATAACAATTAATAGCTTAAAGAAAGAAATAAAACAAATTTAATATATAAAAAAATTAATGCTATCAGACAGCATGATCCATATTAGAAACAAATACCTGCAAGTTATATGGTGTAATTACTGCTATGTCTTCAGGTTTAATTCCACTTTTTATTAGTTTTTCAACATGAATAGTTACTAAATCTGCTTCACCTAAAAAAAAAAAAATATATACATTTACCTTCTTCAATTTGTTTAATATTCTTTCTCTTTTGAGATTATTAGTAATCTGAATGTTGATTTATTACACATTAGTTTTTGTTTTTTTCATCTCACACCAGTCATCGGTTCATAGGGTACGTTTTTTTATCTTGTCTGCCCCATGCAATGAACTTAATTATATTTAAAAGATTAATGTCTTTCATAAGAAATATATTACTCAGAAACAGAAATTATCGAATTTTTAATAGTTATGAAAAGTACTTTTTAAAATTATTATTTTAATTTAGATCTGATGTGAAATAACAATTAATTTTGATATTTATTATCTCAAATATGATTAATTTTCAAAGATTCGGTTTTCGAACAGACTTTTCAAATTATGCAAGGCACGTGGATAGAATATAGAACAAAGATACTAGAATGCTACTCATACCCTGGAACATCAAGAAGATATTAAAAACAACAGACCAGCAACTGAATTATCTAAAAGAGTACTAGACCAGGTTATCTACTACTTTGGGCACACACTAAAATACTTAAGCAGTGCAATGATCGAAGACAGGTATTTATATAGGAGAACCTCTATATTTCTGCAGTAACACCATGCAATACATCAACTTTAGGAATCCCACAACTGTGGGTAACTTTATTCAAACAATTTAATCTGTAATTTTGTATTTGAATGTATTTCACAACCATATTTGGCTTACTAAATTGCTTTTTAAAGGGTTTTTGAAAATATGACATCAAATACAACATACTTCTATAATTTTTCAAAAATATTTCAATTTGTCCTATATTCTATCCACATGCGTTGCATAATTTGAAAAGTCTGTTTGAAAACTGAATCTTCGAAAATTAACTGTATTTGATTTATTTTTCGCCTGAAGATGGTGGTTGTAAGCTATCGAAAGTACTTGCTAGTACTATCGATGTGAAATACAGTTAATTGTTTAGAAACTTCAACTACACTAAATATTTAATAATAATTTATTTCCAATTAATTCTATTAATTAAAATAATTTTTTGCTGCTTATACAAAAAAACATCTAGTTCTAAAAATGATATATTGTAAAGATTTCCATTTTTGTTTCTCTTAATTTTGTTATCAATTTTATTCTTTAATTAAAAAGTATGCACTAAAGAGAGATCTAAGGAAGGAAGTGACACAGATCTGATCAAAACTATTTAGACAGCAGGAATATAATCAATGACTTGATAAACTACAGCCATAACTCATTATCAGAATCTAATGCATTCCTGAAAATAATCCAAATATTCAGGGCCAGATTTAAAAATTGGTGTAAACAGTATATTTCACAAAACAGCAAATAATTCCAAATTTTGTAATATTTACAGTAATTTTATTTATGTAGACATTTTAAATAATCTAATTGGTCAGATTTATCTAAATTATTATCTGATGTACTTATTATGTAAACATATGCCAATATGCATGTCAACTAAAAATTGAATAAATTTAAAATGAAGGTTGCCTCGAGTTTTTTGTATTTACACTATATGGTGTTCAAAACAACAAAAATAATCACTGACACGGTTTCAAGAACGTAGAATATAATTTTTAATTAATATAAAATGTATGATTGTAAAATAAAGATATATTTCTTCCTGGATTTTTTATTTAAAAATTATATTATTGAAGACTAAATACAAAAGATATTCATGAGACTTTAAAAATGTGTGTGTTTACAATCACCAGAACAGTTTTTAATCTTTATTTTACAAATAACTGATTTCATGGTAAGTTTTAAACAATTTGAACACGTATAAGCAGAGAAGATCCTAAAAAGAAAAGTCAATTCCACTAATGATTGTGAACGAATGTTCAGAAGATTTCAAAAAATAGTTTTTTGTATTTAGTCTTCAATATTGTCATTTTTAAATTATACTATATATCAGTATGTTAACTGTACTATTTAGTAAAATGCATCATTTTCATATTTAAAAAGTGATACTAAATTTAGAACACTTACATATAATATTTCATAAGCATGAATGTTTCTGACATTAGGACTTTTATTATATCAGAAAAGGTGGCATTCTAGCCTGTACCCACAATAGCCTTATGATTAAGCCCACCAATTTCTCAAAATGACTGAAACACTGCAAAAACCTATTCCATGAATTTTCAAAATCCTCACAATACTTTTATGACAGTCTCTCTTTTCTCAATATGTTACAACACTATCTTTGACCTTTTTTTTTTTGTGGGGAACTCACTGCTATTATGTTGGATGTGATTTTTCAATATTTCTATTCTATTTTGTTAATCTTGTAATGGTAGTATGTTTAATAATTTTCCTGATGAATAGTAGTTAAAATGAATTTTTGAAATAATTGATTTGAAATATTTTCTGTACTTCAATCACTTATCAAAGGCACAAAAAATATTTGGAATAGATTAAAATGAAATTAAAAATCAATTTCAAATGATTTCAATAAGTGATGGAAGTGCAGAAGAATTTTTCAATTTTGCACTATATTAGAATTATAGCTTTACCACTCTAAACTGGAAAATAACAGAAAAACAAATACATAAACATGGTATAATTTACATCAATAAAAAATAAAAACACAAATTTTCTCAAAGGAAAAAGTTATTGCAAATTTTAGAAATATTTTTCAAATTCTCATAACTATTAAATTTCTTGATCAGAATCAAAACTGCACCATCAAAATTACAAAGGTAATAGTTTGGTGACCCTGAATTAAACAATGAAAACAATGTCTGCAGCCAGATTCGGTCTCAAAGGTCAGTTCATCCAGCCTGCCACCACACTGTGCCACAAATGAGCTAAAATATAATTATTTATATAGAAATATCATAGATTGTAGATATACTTAATACATAGAAAAATTAAAGTAGTCCAATCTGATTTTTGCTTCTGACAGTAATATAATTTTTAAGGAAATCATTGAAATAAAAAATTTGGCGACTTTTTGTAACTTTGGATATCAGACTGCTTTTTGTGTAGGAAAAGCGATTATGAGTCTGCTGCAGCAATCATGTTTGTGTATAAATATGTTGGTTGTCTTTATTTTATGTGTATTCAGTATACTGTATTGAACAAAATGGCTATGCGGCCCACACTCATCATTCTATCGGTTATCTCACCCACTGTGAAAGTTTGATGACCTTTGGTTTAATTAATGTGATGCAATATAAACATACTAATCATATAAGTTATTTGTTCTTGCAGATGAATGAAAAAGTAATTGAAACGGAAACTATAAATCCTACTTTCAAACTCTCTTATAAACTGATTTTCTGAAATTAAAAAAATTTTAAGTGTTTTTATTTTTGCTCTATATAATGCTGTATAAAAAGCAAAGCCATCAATATTAAATACTTGATAAAAATTTGTATTACCAGGATCAGTTCATTCAGGAAATAAAACAGGCAGAATACAAAATTTTTAAAAAACATTCCAATCCTAACTAACATTTTGGAATACCAGCAACGGTAGAATACAAAAAGATATTTAAATAAAAAGCACGCGCTTATACTGCGCATGCGCTAGACGCCTCTATATTGTGGATTTAATTGCGATGTTTTATATAACTGTACAAGCTGATCCACAAAGGGGGCAAATCCAGTGTGGGGGTGTTGCAGGGCCTTAATGCGTTGGTGATGAGGGCTTCCCAGATGTATACGAGATTTTTGTTGTCACAATGTTTTAGTATGACCACATCATTCCACAGAGGAGTATGCTTGTGTTGTAGTACCATTCTGGCGAGTTCTGTGTCATTTTTGCCGTCCCTGATGGAATGTTGATGCTCTAAAATACGGTTAGCTAACATTCTGGTTGTCGCACCAATATAATGGGTGCGACCGCCTAAATCATTCTCTAATGGGACTGAATAAACCCCCGATTTTTCAATGGTGGATAAAGGATCCCTGTCGTTGGACAGCAACCTCCTAAGATTCGGCCGCGGAGAGATCGGCAGAAACAAATCATGTCGCCTAAAAATACGACAAATACGGAGGGTGACACGGCCAGAAAATGGTATCGCGGGCAGGACTCTTGTGGACTCCTTCGGACGGTGTAGTGTGGTGGCGGGAAAGAGTGATGTTTTTACCTTATTTAAGATGTAATTAAATTTGGCTTTGCTGTAACCTGCCTCATTTATCGCTTGGTAGATAATATTAAGTTCGGTGTCAATAGTCGCCTGGTTGGATGATAAGAGGAAGGCCCTTCTTATTAAAGGTGAAATTGCCGCATTGACGTAATGTTGCGGTTGATATGCCGTAGCTGGGATTAGAGGAGGTACACCACTGAATTTGTGGAACACGGAGTATGTAGTGCTATTTCGGGATTTATTAATTTTTAAGTCCAAGAACGCAATTTCATTTTCCTTTTCTTTTTCCCAAGTGAAAGTAATAGTGGGATAAGTGGTTGCGAGACGGTCTTTGAAGCCCTCATCACCAACGCATTAAGGCCCTGCAACACCCCCACACTGGATTTGCCCCCTTTGTGGATCAGCTTGTACAGTTATATAAAACATCACAATTAAATCCACAATATAGAGGCGTCTAGCGCATGCGCAGTATAAGCGCATGCTTTTTATTTAAATATCTTTTTGTATTCTACCGTTGCTGGTATTCCAAAATGTTAGTTAGGATTGGAATGTTTTTTAAAAATTTTGTATTCAAAAAAGGTTCTTATGCAGTATCTTCTAATGACCTGAAGAAGACGAAAGTGTGTATCGTCGAAAGCGTTCGTCAATTTAGTGACATACGTGGTTAATTTAACGCTTATATCGCAAAAACAGGCAGAACAGAATTGACACAATACCTCACCCTTTGACATGAGACCGGCTGTCAAACTAGAGCAAATAAACCGATGACGTATTTTCGTAAACAGAACTGGGACTGTGAGGGAAAGGGGTGTGATACAATTTAATTGTCACATCCCGAGATCTAATTGACACATATCCAGTCATAGATTGTGAAGGAGAGCAGGAGATCGACAGCCAGGGAAATTTTGGTGGTCACCTTACACAGAGTTCAAAGCGGAAGATGCAAGTGCTCCTTTGGAGGAGGTGGTAGCTGGAATCGTATGAACCCAGCTGTGTCTTCTCCGAGATATAGAAAAACACATTGGCAAAAATTTACAGGACAGTCAGTCAGGAAAGAGTATGACCCAACCCAGGGGTAAGCAATCTGGATGGGGGTGTTCAACAACCTTGTGGCCCAAATCGTGTCCCTGACAACAGATTGAGGACCACCATTTCAGACCAACCAAAAAGTGGGATTTCGGGGAAAGATGGTATAAAATCCCAAAATCTCAAGGACATGGCAAGTAATTGGACAAGATTGTTTGTGCTTCTGGTCATTACACCATTGCGAAAACCAGTGGGCTCTGAGACATCAAACACCTGCCACGGGGACGATCAGGATTCAACTTCCTGCCATCATCTCCACCCTTGGGCAACTCTCCAACCTCTGAATCTATCTATACCATCGGAACAAACTCTTTTGTGTACTCTTCTTCTTTGTGAGCTACCTTTCAAACAGATGACACTGTATCATTTAAGCATGTTTGTCTTATTAAACGTGATTAATTTTGTGACTCTGGTGTCCATGTGAGTATCCAGCATCATGACTCCCATATGTACAAATCACTCTCACGTCATCCTGATAGATCACGAGAAAAGTGAGTAGCTCTGCCTCCCATCAAGGCCGTTTGTTGGGCCAAATTCCTTACATAGAACTTGCTAAATTGGTAGGAGACAGTGTACAATTTGTAAAATTTCTAGAGTGGTATCAGAGATGTAGCCACTTTGGCCCCAAGGGGTACAATTTCCTACACTAACACTCTTCTTCCCCTCACTCTGTCAACCCCTACTGTCACTCAACACAACTTTAAAATTTTCCGATAGTTTAGCTGTTTGTATTGTTGATTCAGTAAATGTCTCTTCAAACAGAAAAAAAATTCTTTTCGGTAGATTACCTCACAGCCAATATAGGTTATAATTACAAAAAACTTTTGCGATATAAGCGTTAAATTAACCACGTATGTCACTAAATTGACGAACGCTTTCGACGATACACACTTTCGTCTTCTTCAGGTCATTAGAAGATACTGCATAAGAACCTTTTTTGAATACAAAATTTTTAAAAATTTTGTATTCAAAATTTAACGCTTATATCGCAAAAGTTTTTTGTAATAAATGATTAGCGTGCTGTCCATCACTATATTATAGGTTATAATTCCTTTTATTGCTTTTTACAGATGCATTTCGAGCTAGGTTAATTTTCTAGCTCCTCCTCAGTGCTTTTAAGAGTTTCCATGAGTTTTTAATTTTTTTCCCACACTTATATGGTACTTTTAGTTCCGTATACAATATTTTTACCAGCGTATGCAATTATTCACAGGGTTTTTTATCTTGTATCGTACAAAAGGTCTGCTTGCTACTGGTTTCTTTCTAATTAAATTACTTTAAGAACATGTATCTTGTTACATCATAAAAATGTACTGCTTGTTACAAGGTTTCTTTTCCATTAAAAGCATATTATCTTTTAAAATTTCACCGTCTTTGTGAGGTAGTCTACCGAAAAGAATTTTTTTCGGATTGAAGAGACATTTACTGAATCAACAACTTTAAAAGTAGACAGCATAAAAATGTCCCAAGCACTTGACTGCTGGATTAAACAGAGAACAGACACATCAGACTAAAATACTAGGCTACATGAATAGCCACAAGGTAAAGCATAATAAAGTTTAATACTTGTTCTTGTTCAGCCTTTTCTTTTTCATTGAATATTGTCATGTGTGCATATGAAATGCAAGGAGCTGTCATACTGATATGGCAGTTCCTTGCACAATACTGTGTTGTGCTATTAGGTAGATAGCATATGTTTTTACAGTAGTCTAAATCTATGTAAGCTATCAGCAATGCAGATAACCCTCACTCAGAAATTTCTGGTTACATTCCTGGATATAATTACTTGGCTTATTAAAATGAGATACTATTGTAAAACTATTTAGACGGAATATGGCACAAAGATCATGACAGAAGTACCACTGTAGTGGGAAAAATCTGCAAATGTCTACATGTATTGTAACAATATTTCAAATCACTTTAAAACATGCATGAAACATTAGAAGAACACCATTAAACAACTCTTCACTTGATTTCTATAGTTCAGAGAGAAACTTTCCAGGTAAGCATCTTAAGCATTTCTAAACATTGTCATCCAGCATTACTGACAGCAGTTAGTAGGAAAATAAAGTTAATTCATACTCTGCTTTCACTAAGTTATCTTTATAATTATATTTAGAAAACAAATACCTTCATTTCCCTTTGATTCCTCCTCTTCTAATTCTAATTCATACAATTGACAACCAGCTGTATCAATTAAAAGTAAAGGTGTTGATGTTTCTTCTGTCACCTCAATTCCATTCATATCCCTAAATTTTTGTCAGTCTATATTTTCATTAATTAATGATAATTAATTTTTAAATTTATCTTACTTTAATAAATGTTGAGCCACTGAAGAATGGGCAATGAGTTTATTTTCATACATCTTTGAAGAAGGCCAAGCCATTATATCTTCATGCATTCTGTACTGAATAAACAGCATTCTTGTAATTGTTTCTCCATACAAATTAACAAGTCTTTCCATTAATGACACTGATAATCCCTCTTTGGCAGCTCTATTTGTTTTAAATATTAAAAATAAACTTTTTTAATTTTTGAAAGATTTATTTATTTAAGTATTTATAGAAAAGATAATTAGAATTAAAGAATAAACCAAGAGATGTTTATTTAAATATGAAATATAATAAAATTACTTAGGTTTAATATGAATAATTTAATTAAAACAAAGTATTTTCGTAAACAAAATATTATCGTAAGAAATAACTAGAAAATAATTCTTGATCATGACAAAATCATTTTTATCCTTTCTGATTACTTTTTTAAAAAGCTGCTTTGATTTCTATTATTTTCATATTTTTTTTTTATCAAGCAAGTTTTTACAGAATAATTTATTAAAAATGGAATTTATTAGAAAAAATGCATTTTTGTTTGTCTTATCAAACTATTTAGTTAGAAGCAAACAAAATCACTTATTCCCATTGATCAAATTCAGCAAATGAAGTCTCAAATTACACCTTATATTTAAATTCTTATACTTTTCTACACATAATATTTCAACTTGATCAAATTATTAATGATTTAAATAATTTTTAATCGTTCATATAACCTGTAGTACTATCATATGATGTATTATAATCTTTTGCATTATATGATAATATACATATTAATTATGTAAGATACAGATTTCATAAAAAATCTAAAGCTTCATATGTATTTGTAATGTTTATACTTAAAAAAAAATCTTTTACATTTTGTCACGTAATTATTTGTGTTATCAAGTGCTTTGCTTTGACCATATTATTTGTAAGAGAGATATTAAAAATGTTAAATTTATTATGTATTATACTTTATACATCAGTGAGAATAAAATAATTTTGTTAATAAAAATATTCTTGAATTTTAAATAACTATTGAATAAAACACCAGAGATTGCAAGTGTGTACCAGCATACATAGTCTATACTGTCAAAATCACATGTCAATCTGAAAGGTTTAGTACTTTGTAATTTAAAATAGATATTTAACAAAGTTCGTAAGTTATCAAGATCAAAAAGATGATGATGTTGCCAGCCTGAAAAGAGTGTAAAAAGTTTAGGATAAACCATTAACAGAGCTAATGGTTCATTACAACAGCATTAAGTTTAGCCAATAATATTAACATAAGTGAATATTTTCATTTATTAGACCTTTTTAATATGTTTGTTTGTATTTATTTGTTTATTTCATTAAAACTGTATTAATATTTACATAAATATACTAGATATTAAATTCAAAAATAATGATATCAAAGAAAATCTGCAAACGTTGAACTTGCTGTAGACACTCGATTTCATATAAGCTTAATCTGATGCAGGCCCCTGAATGTAGCTAAAAATATTTACTTATGCTTGTTTATTACTGTTGGAAAGTGTGAGAAAGGTGTGAAGTTTCTTTATTATAACAATCAAAACTAATTTAATTAAAATTTAATATAAATAATTTCTATGAGATATAAAACAAAACTAAAATGGCAATAAAATAGAAGTCTATAAGATGACTAATTTGACAGAAAAAGCTAAAAAAATAACACATGTGATTTTATATAACATGGTCAAATTAAATTAACTCATTAATAAACCTCTGAAATAATTACTTAATTTTCCCATTTTTAGGTAATGTGATGATGATAAAAATACCAAATCACAATTTTGATTACTATTTTACGGAAGAAATTACTACTTTCTTCATTTCCAATGTCCCTAAGGCTATGAACAGTGAGGTGTACCTATGTTGGAGTGAAAATGGACCATCTCACTGATCATATATGTGGTACAGTACATGTTAGTTAATAACTAAGCAAATGTACCATTCAAGTAATTTTAAATTGCACCATTAGATTCTTCATGAAAAGTTACATCTTAGATCCCTTTTTGGCACCATAGACAGTTCTCATTAATTATAGCAGACAGACACACATATGCGAGTAAATATGGTATCTGAATAAGACGAGGTTTTTATTCATTTTTCACTACTTCAAAAACCTTGGTCGTCCTATATGCACAAGCGAAGGATTTTTTGTGATTTTTTCAATAATTTTTGTAAACCATGTATTTGCATTTTTCACTGGATGCTCACACTCTGGTATTTAAAAACAAAAGATTTTATCTGGGTCATTTCAATTGTTCTTGTGTATTGTCAGTAGTAAAGATGAATAGCACTCCGAAAAGCAAAGCTTTTGAATTGAATTTCTAAATCACATGGGAGGCCCAATATGAGTTTTAATCCATTCCCATGTAAGAACAGATGATTATTCAGAAAAACTCATAAGTGTAATCCACGGAGAGTGGATTCAACTGTTAAGAATTGGCAAAAAAGTTTTGTCCAGCTTTACATGAACAAATTATGTTGATTTTACAAGATTTTTCTTTAAAGTTTAAAATTCCAGTAATTTTTGTGGGACAAATGTGTGCATTTACATGCATTTGATATTTTATTTGTGATAATACAATTCTAATTTTATTTCATTTAAATAAATCTGATTTTCTTTCATTTAAATAAATCTGATTTTCTTTATTTTGATCTTTAAAGTCACACCTCATCTTATATGAGAGTAAATACGGTATGTATACAGGAATGTTACAAATAAAGTGAACCAGTCTCATAACTTGGAAATGACTAAAGATCATTTCCAAGTTATGATAGGAAGATCAGACAAATAATGGTCAAACAAGATGCAAGTTACATATCCAAAAGTTAGCAAGTATGTTTTGGAGATTCTGGGTTACAAGGTCCTAAAGGGGATTTCTTGCCAAAGTTCAATGGTAGACAAAAATTGTACCATTGGAAAGTACTGTACATGAAAATCTAAACAACTTTTATTCTGGGTAAATTTTGATAACTCACACTATTGTTAAGTAAACATAAGCATGAAAGTCAGAATATGCAGACAGGCAGCTAGGAAAGCATGTAAACAGGTACAAATGTCATTAGTATGGTTACAAATATATAATACAATGACAAAAAACTTAATAAAATTTGATTCTAATACTTCACAACTGGTAACTGAATTTTATAAAAATTATTCTCTTATAAAATTAATATTTAAGATTTATTATTATAATACAATATATATTACATATGTGAGATAAGCAGTGGGTCAGGGGTTAATCTCGTACTAACCACTTAATCTGCATGGGCTGGTAAAGTCCGATCTTGGATTCGTTTGAATGGCTAGGAAGGCAAAACGAGTGGGGAGTGTGTCGGTAAGTCAACAGGTTTCAACAACAAAGGAGTTTATTGTATAACTAAAGTTAATTTACAGGAGTGTACATAAGGAAGCTACTGATTTAATGCTTAGATATGGATAACACACAAATCTATCTATAATGGCGATCTAACTAGTAACTATGCCACATGTCTAACTTCTAGAGTGAGAGAGTTTACAAAGGTTACTGCACTCAAATATACCTTAATATCATGTTGGATGACAGTATGCAACGATCATTCTAGAAGCTGGCTGGCTGGCTGTCACAGGCTTATGTCTTCTACCAGTTTCTCCTCAGACAGGACCTGGATGGGAGACACCTGTACTCAGACCTTCCTGAATGATCGCGCAGAGAGACGGTCACACTGAGGGGACGATTTCCCTGAGCTTCCTGTGACGATTGTTTTTATACGATCGTCGTTGGCACTGAGCCAACTGGTCATTAACTCATTATGATGACTAATTAGCATGTGCACATTGACTGACTAACAAATGGATGATGAATTGCTTTTCTTCCTTCCTACCTTGTTGATGTGTAAGATTTGACACCCAATCTATTTCCGTTATAACTCGCAATAATTTTTTTTTTATCCTCTAATGTAAAAATGTGTTAAACTCAAAAATTTACGCCCTCAAAACCCTCGGGCTCACACATATAATATAGATTATAAAGACATATTCAATTATTAATATGATGCAATTATAGTTTATTTATTTATGTGATTATATAATACAGTGATGCTTTGTACTATACTTCAAATTTAATTCATTCCAGAAGGTTGTTCAAATTCTGAATCAATTTTTACCATTAGAAATAAAGGAAAGTAAATTAATCCATTTCCAGACCCTAAACAATACCTATTTCAACAAACTTAAAACAGCAAATACACATAATTTAAGGAAAAAATAATACAATTAAATACCCTAATAATAAATTAAAACACAAAAATCATAAATAAAATATGTAAGTACTGCATAATAAAATAAAAATTGGATTTATTGGTTCACACTGTGGACTTGGCATCTTAACATAGATGTATGATTTAATTATAATAGTTATGAAATTTAACATATTACAGATAACAGACTAAAATCTCACAGTTAGAAGTTTACTTTACATTTTGTTTGAATAAAATCAAGAGTTTAAAGTCTATTGTAAAGTAGTGACCTCTTAGCAGAGTGGGACAAAAGAGGCGCGACCTTGTCAATTGGACCCACGTGCGGTCGGGTAATACCACTTGTAAAGTATTGACTTGTAAACAAGGGTAAACAAAGGAAGTGCCGGCTTTGTTAATTGGACCCACCTGCAGTCAGATGGTAGTACAGTTGCCATATGGTAAACAAATGAACGTAAACAAGTGGCGGATGTTTGTGTAAGCTTCACTCTCGTCGGATGACGGCGGACCCGAGTGTAAGCTGTTTGGGCAAAAAAAAGGGTTGTGATTGGTCGGAAGTCCCCGTTCCAAAATCCCTTAAATTGCGGGCCGAACGAGAGAGGAGGAGAGAAGGGCAAGAGACTGATACACGGTTGTCTCAGGCACTTGGGAAGCCCGCTGAGCGTAAAGAGAGAGTGTTCTCCTCTGTGAATCTTCTCAGAGACGGGTTAGTGCCGAGACCGGACCGACCGTGCAGTTGAGCCGACTCCTCAAGCCGACTGAGGTCTCTCCAAAGGTTATTAGTTCCCAGACGCCAACCTGGCACGTGAATTCACCACGCATGGTTATCCTGTACATATGCTATGTTTCTAACTTGTACTTTCTACAACTGTAAATAAACTGTAAATATATTCAATTTGAGTGTGGAGGTGTGCTTTCCAACGAACCAGATTCACTACATCGAGTCGTGATACACAAGAAACCCTCTTCACTCTAGACGGAGTTGGGAAGGAACGGCAATAAGATCTTCACTTCTATAAACCACCATCTACAAACCCAATGTATATATGCAATAAGCCAACAACTATTGAACCATATCAAGCTATTATATCATGATTATTTTAAATTAATTACTAAATGATTTATCACTAGAGGGAGGCGTTACATGCTATCTTTTATTAAATTTAATAATTATAATTTAATTAAATAATTTAGAAATCTAGTGACAAATTATTTAGTTATTACAGTAGAGCATCATTTATCCGAAAGTCGGTTATCCGAAAGAATTCCAGTCGGCCTAAAGTATAATTATTTGTTTTTACATTTTTCAATGTATTTATTTCGTTTGTAAAACATAAAGAAATCATTTTTAATGATACAATAGCCACGATTATTATTTTAAAAAGTTTACGTTAGGCTTAACATCGACGAAAATCCAACGCGAAGCGANTCGTTTGTAAAACATAAAGAAATCATTTTTAATGATACAATAGCCACGATTATTATTTTAAAAAGTTTACGTTAGGCTTAACATCGACGAAAATCCAACACAAAGCGACACGCAATGGAGAAAATTTCAACACGGGATAGGTTAATATATTTTTTCGTACATAATCGGTTATCCAAAAAATCAGTTATCCGAACAACCCCAGTCACCAATTGATTCAGATAAACGATGCCCTACTGTAATTTAAAATAATCATGATATAATAGCCCAATATGGTCCAGTAGTTGTTGGCTTATTAAGTTGTAATGACTTCAGATAAAAAGCATATTATGGACATATTGTTTTATAAGTTTCAAAAAGGATATAATGCTGTACAAACAGTAAAAAAAAAATTGTAATGTGTACGAGGAATATGCTCCTAAACTTTGAACATGTCAAATGTACTTTAAGAAGTTCCATCAGGAAGATTTTGAACTAAAGCATATAAAATGTAGGAGGCACCCAAATGCTGCTGACAAAGAAAAATTGCAGAAATAAATTATTAAAAATCGACAAATAACACATGATATAACCAAACACTAAAAATAAAGCAAAAAGAGCACCAAAAACATACAAGCATAATGCAAGAGCAAGAGGTGGCATGGACACACAACAGATTGAGTTTATGCTTCAAGCATACTTTTTCACTGTGTGCACAGTTCACACTTCAAAGCATCATTCAAACACCAAGGTAAACTTTTGTTGAATTTTGCATTTGAACTCTAGAGCATTTGAAATACAAGATACCACTATATATTTATCTACATGTTTGTTCTATTAATAGTAAAATTAAATTTTAAAAGATATTTAAAACATTCTATTGTTACTAGTTTAATTTTGAAGTTAATCAGATAACTGTTCTAGGAAATAGTTTTATGAATTATCATCTGTGTTACTCTCTAAATTTGGCCTTTCAAATTAAAATAAGATAAATCTCACTTAAAATAATATTACAAAATACAAGATAGAGATGGTAAAGACATCAGCATACAGCTCTAGATAATCAGGATAGAATCAAGGCAAATAACTCCCAAGGAATTTTTCATGAACAGTCTCTTCCTGATATGTCAGGCTCTGTCCCTCACCAAACTCATGATGAGTACAGAAAAATAGAGCTTAGTGCCCACAGGAAAGAGAGATCAAAAATAAATTAAATAGCAAAAGAGCTAGATAAAAAATTTATGCAGAATCATACTTAAAAATATTACTTAATACATAATACATATTACTTAAAAATCTGTTAAATAGAAGAAAAATCAATTTTACCTTTCTGAAACAATTGTTGGTGGAAGTTGTTGATGATCTCCAGCTAATACACATTTTGGAGCATTTAATAATGGAATCCAACAAGCAGCTTCAATAGCCTTTACAATACAGAAAAATTTATTAGATAAATACATAAATGTAAGTTGTACTCATAAAAATTCTAAATAATTCTACACATTAAAAAATAAATAAATTTAAGCTAATGTGCTGCAATTTCAAAAAAATCATAAACATATAAATTCCCATTGTCATCTGCCTGTCTTTCCTTAATCTCGAGAATCAAGTCAGATTGATGAAAGATGAGACCAAATAGAGGCAGGAGGCCCCAATTAACTACATAAGAACTTCTGATACAAACCAGAAGTCATGTTAAATTTTATCCTGTAAGGTGTTAGTTAGATGATCAACACAATTCTATCGTTAAAGGAAAAGTATAATAATAAAAAGACACTATTTGGAAAGTACAACCGGAATTACAATGCACTTCTATAATTTTTGAAAACATTTTAATTTCATTTCATTCTGTATTCTATCCACATGTGCTTGATAACTTGAAAACATCCATTAAAATAACCAAATGTTCAAAAATTAATTGTATTCAATTTCTTTTCTGCCTGTGGATGGTAGCTGTAAGGTATCAAAAGTACTAGCAAGTACCATAGATGTATGATTTAATTATAATAGTTATGAAATTTAACATATTACAGATAACAGACTAAAATCTCACAGTTAGAAGTTTACTTTACATTTTGTTTGAATAAAATCAAGAGTTTAAAGTCTATTGTAAAGTAGTGACCTCTTAGCAGAGTGGGACAAAAGAGGCGCGACCTTGTCAATTGGACCCACGTGCGGTCGGGTAATACCACTTGTAAAGTATTGACTTGTAAACAAGGGTAAACAAAGGAAGTGCCGGCTTTGTTAATTGGACCCACCTGCAGTCAGATGGTAGTACAGTTGCCATATGGTAAACAAATGAACGTAAACAAGTGGCGGATGTTTGTGTAAGCTTCACTCTCGTCGGATGACGGCGGACCCGAGTGTAAGCTGTTTGGGCAAAAAAAAGGGTTGTGATTGGTCGGAAGTCCCCGTTCCAAAATCCCTTAAATTGCGGGCCGAACGAGAGAGGAGGAGAGAAGGGCAAGAGACTGATACACGGTTGTCTCAGGCACTTGGGAAGCCCGCTGAGCGTAAAGAGAGAGTGTTCTCCTCNAAGATATAACTAAATCTTATAAAGCATTGATAAAATTTTTCATAATATCTATTGTGACTTGTAGCCATAACATTTAACAGCTTGAAACCCTCTGGTGGTCCTTTTGGATAATCGAATAATTATTTTTTATGTCTGTCCTTTAATGCTTCAAATGAAGATAATCCTGGGTTATGTTGTTTATGCAAATAGCTACATTGTTTAAGCTGTTTTTTATGTAATATATTAGTTGTTACTCAATATTCTGATTGTTTACTGAATAATCACAATGTATAAAATTTATACTTTTGTGAACAAAGAAATACTTATAATCTTAATTTAAATAGTAACAAAGAGCTGTTTGCCAATGGTAAAATTTGATGACATTACACTGTATTAAAAGTTGAAATTAGATTAATGAATTAACTAATATTTTTAAATCAAATTTGAATTGAAATCAATTTGAAATATTTATTTTTCTGAACACCAATTAGTAATTACAATCCTAAATTATTTTCAAAATTGGTTTTTATGATTTTCAGTTCCATTTATTACTATATTAATTTCATTATGTTCACTTGAAAGAACAGATTCATAAAAATTATATATGTAGCATATTTAGTCATACATAAATATTTGCTAATATATGATGTTTGAATAATGTTAGTAAATTTCAGATACTTGCCTAATATTGGCTCTTGTTTGAAACTGAAAATGAATATAGGATATAAACAAAAGCAGGATTATAAAATAAACTCAATATGTAAAAATCTTTTGCCTCTTTTACTAAAGCCTCTTCAGTTAAAAATCATTCAAACAGAACAAAATAAATTTAACCAAGCTAAACAAAATAATTTTTTGCTTTGTTCAAGTTCTATATTAATAACAGAAGAAAAACAATTTTAAGCAAAAAAAAAATGGTTTTAAAGTTATTCTGTTTTAGAAAATCACAGATGAAAATCTTCACTTTTTAAGTAATTGTTACTTCACTTTTACATGCTAAAAAATTTAATTATTTACAATTCTTCCCATTTTTTAAATTTTGTTTACTTTAGGAAACCACAGAAAAACATTTTTAGTTTTATTTCTTATTTAAAATACCAGTATTACACTAATATTAAAATGACATTTTTTCATGTTCCAATTTATAAAGATATCTATAAAAATTAACATATTTTTACAAAATTTTAATCAGTATAGAAAAGTCAATATAGAAATGTCAATTGTAACAATTCTATCAAAATGAACATTTTAATATGTAGCTAATAATAAAATTTTAAAAATATACCTGTGAACATTCGTCAATAACAACTACATCAAAATGCTCTGGTGGAATATGCTTTAAAGGTCCATCATCAGATGCAGAAGTTAAAGTCGATAAAATTACATCAGCTCTCTTTAATATTCTTTGAACAGCAACCTTTTCCCTTTCACGTAACTCTTTTTGTAAAGATCTTACTTCTTTTCCAGCTATTTCTTGTTGTATTTTACTTTTACTTTGTTTATTTCTTCTCTGTAATTATGTTTAAAATAAATCTATATTAATACCTATCTTAATATAAAGTTATAATCAATGAAACAAATCTATACTCTTAGCATATCTATTTCATTTCTCAAGTCATTGACTATTTCATTTTCTTCAGATCTTGATAATATAGCATCCAAAGAATATTGTTGTATGTCAAACAGAAGACGAGCTGGATGACCTAATCTAACAATTTTTGCTTTATGAACTGCTAATTTTTCCACAAGATTATCTACTGCAATATTGGAAGGTGCACAAACAAGTACCTAAAATAAAAACATTTTGTTCACATTTTATTTTCATAAAATTATTATTAATATATTTCAATATTAAATTATGCATGCATTAATTTTATTAAACTGAAACATATGTATAAATTTTAAAAGAATTAGAAATAATAACTAATAATTATATAACAGTACTATCCCTTCTATTTTAAAGTAAAAAATTTACTATTCCAATAACATTTCTTATTCTTAAAAAAAATATAGCTTCTTTATAGTTTTTTTAGACTAGAAAGTTAAAAATGTTATTTGAATAAAAATTAAATATTTCAGATATAAATTAAACCTTAAAAACAGTTTTATTATTTAGAATTTTTAAAAGTAATTCAAAATCAAATAAAGGTTACATCAACTAAAGGGGCAAAAGCAATATTCCATTTGTAAGAATTTACATTAGAATGCATTCTTCATACTTAAATATATTTGTATATCATTCTTTAATAATTTAAGCAAATATAACAAATTTTTAGTTTTATTAAAACTGTTTGGCAGGTAGAAATTAAGAATATTTCTTAGTATAGAGGCCACTCAGCTCTATACTTCTGATCGTCCTGTATTGAAACAAGTTGTCCAAATTGCAAAACATTTTCTTTTCAAACTATCAAATAATTCAAAAAACTACCATGCTTACATATAAAATAAAGCTTTTTTTGCTTGCACACCTCACAACTATTTATTGGGGTTACTTCAGATCTTTACATTGTTAAATAAAAATTTGCAACCGACAAGGCATTTATTAAAAAAAATTTTTTAGCAAATTTTGAAGACATTAAACAAAGTATATAAATTTTAAGTTGTACTATTGTAAATAAACCTACTGCAATAAAATAAAATTATATTCACAAAGTCAAGCAAAAAAATTTTTGTGATAAAAATATATAAAAACTACAATTGGTTACAGTATTAAAACTCACATCAAGAATCACATACTAAAATTCTTTTCAATAAGAATATAAAAATGATGACTAAGTGGATGTTACTTATTTATTACATGTAAATAATAATTTTATTTAATCAATAATGACATCAAAATGACTATATATAAATAAAATGAAAATATAGATGGCTGATTAATGAAAATTCTTTAATTCATTAATCAGCCATGAGCACCTATGAATTATTAATGCAAAACTGTTATTTAAAAATCTAAGATTTTTCTATATTTAAAATACATTTCTTTCAAAAAAGCTTTTATGCTCTGAAGGACATTCCATCTGGTAACTGTTACAGCACCTGAAGAACTCAAAAGGAGTTAGAAAATGTTTATCTTGAGATAGTTTTTTGTTTTCTTCACACCAGTTATTGGTTCTGTGTTTGTCATTATGTGTTTCCTGGCATGGTGTGTATTATTTAAAATACAGTAAAACTTTTTCAATTCAAAGTGTGAATAAAACAAAAACTTATCTATTAAAAAAAATTTGTCAATTCTAGCAAAATAGGACCTTTCCTTATATACAGCATTTTGCTTTGTATAAAACTGAAAACCAAATTAATTTAATACCACAAAACATTAGTCTTAAAGTACATTTTCAGTTTAGTAACATATCCAGTCGGTTGCGCGGTACTCCAATTGGAGTAACCGGTTTTAGTTAAAATTTTGTGCAGTACTCCAATTGGAGTAAGTGTCAATTTTTTTTCGTAATTAGCTAGTTGGTGGCGATTTAAGCACTGATTGGCATTTATCTACATAGACTAAGTCTGTTTCAACGAATAAGATATTTGTTACCACGCCTTATTTTTAAATTTACCCACAAAACTTCTCCTTTCTATGTTAAGTCTATGGGAGACCCTTCTTTCGTTCATTGGACAATAAAATTCTTGTTTGCACGTCTGTTGACCTCTAATTGGTATATTATAGTTAAATGACTATCTTTTAACGAATAAGCGTTTACTTGGGTTTGTGGGGTGGGAACTTTCTGGGAAAAAGTTATTTTTATCGGAGCTACATTGTTAGCTACAAACGTAAACAAACAATTATAAATCATTATTCTCGTCTATTTTTAGCTTCAGTTTAGTAAATTTTTATAAATATTTATCCTATTTAACAAATAAGCATGTTTTTTAAACCATCTAATTATAAATCTTTTAAAAAACAAAGTACTTCCGGTTATCACGTAACTTTCGTAATACGTAAAAAATACACGTATAATCGTTAATATATTAAAGTAATAATCGCTTGATATATACCACTGTTAGTACAATAGTGTAAATAACATAAATAGAATCAAATATACTTCATCAATACCAAAAAGTGTATTGACCTAAATTTAGAATAACCACCACCCCCCTCACACGCCGATCGGCGTTATAATCTATAGGTCGTATTATTTCTCTACATCGGTTTAGAAAGCTGCAGTTTTTTTTATATGTGTGTATATAGACCTATCTATCTAACATATATAACAGATTAATCAGATGTTTATTAAAAAATTTCTTTTTTTAATTTTTTTAATTTCCCAATTTTATAAATTTTTAAAAATTTTTTGGAATATTTTTAATATTTTGAAGTTAACAATCGTAAAGTGCGATATGTGAATGATAAAAGGCAAAAAACAGATCAGATCTACAACAATTTTTAAGTGAAATATTGCAAATTTAAAAATTACTATAAAAACCAGAAAATGTCACGCAACAATGGTGTTGTTTCAGATTATCGCGATGAACAGCCGACTGGATATTATAGAAAATATTTTATTTCAATTTCAATCAAATTTATAATTTAAATGCAATGGCAATATAATCATAATTGTTTTAAAGACTTATTTAACGATGTTTTACAATTCATACAGATGACTATTACTTCATAAAAAGTTTCCTCCTGTTACCAATCAATGCTTAATCTCTGTATTTTCTCATCTACTTTCTCTCATATGCAACAGTGGCCATATTGGATGTAATAATTGGATATCAGCATAACAAAGTTTGGTATCTCAAACAACTTAGTTGTTCTGGTTTTATTACTACTTACTAAAAAAATACTTATTAGTATTTAATAAGATAAAATATGTACTATACAAAGCATGAAACAGTGTTAGAAATAATAATAATGTGATTTGACTGCCTGATCACTTCAGAAGTACATTTTGGTTGCCTGTGACAACTGAACAATCACTTATTTTAAATCTTGTATTTGTCATTACTTTAGAAGAATTCTAATATTGACAGCAGTTTGTATTGTTTTACGTGTTAAAATTAGGTTAGTTTTTATAGTTTTTATGAAACACTGAATTATCCAGATTTTCAACTATATTGGAATATATATTATTATTTATACATTAAAAATTCTTGTAGAATTTATGCCTTAAGTTAAATATATTTTGTAATCAGAATAATAACTTACTTTTAATCCATTTTTGATAAACTGTAATATAATTTCTACAAGAGTAGTAGTTTTACCAGTTCCGGGTGGTCCATGTATAATTGCTATTTCTTTTTGTGAAAGAGAAAATCTGACTGCCTCTTTCTGACAATTATCCAATTTATCATTGAAAAATACTAGTTCTGAAAAAAATAACAATTTTTATGTAATCAACATTATAATCAAAATTAATATGTATTCAATATGAATTAAAATAATAATAGTTACATGTATAGTAGGATTTTGTTTAAATGAGATTAATCTAAGCAAATTTGTGCTTTGTGGATAGTAAATGATTAGGTTAATCCACTTTTAGTGCCATTGAATTTGACTATTGAATCAGCAAACCATAAAGCATGGTTTGCTGATTCAAGAGTCAAATTATGTGATTATTAGATCTCTGCTCATCAACGTCATCGCAGCTCGGTAAATACATCAACACTGAAATGAAAATCAGTCTAGCACGGGGAAAATCAGGGAATTACACCACAAAACGGCAAATTGCGCAGTGGCGAATTATTGTGAATCGGCATAAATTGAGCCAGCGTAAACTGAGGGCTACCTGTACTATATTTTTAATTCTAAGATATACTGTTTTACTTATTTTTTTACTTATCTACAGCAGAGATGCTTTTTACAATCAGTGGTATCATACAGACAAAAACAATGATCAATAATGCACTTGATAATCAATAATACACAATAATAAACAATGATCAATAATACAATCAATAAACAATAATGATCTATCAAGTAGACCAACCATGCTTCCATTCCCACAAGCAAGTATTGATTTTATAAGATTGAGGTGGTATCTTTGTATCCGTCTGTACCACATTTTGATGCAGTAATGCTTGCAAATTGCCTTATTCTAACAAATAAGGCAATTTGCACTGGTCACTCCATACCCAAGGTATTGTATTTGAGGGAAGTACTTTTTTCATATAATGAAGAACAATTATTTTCAATTTAACAGCACCATTTACAAGCAGAAGCATGATGTACCTATGGTCTCACCCTCTCTGCTGCTCTTGAAGAACTTATCATGAGGAATGTTGAATTTAGATATTTTAGTTCCCTGTTGGCTATTAGCTACCCACTCTTATATCTGCATTATGTAGATGTTATCCTGCTTGCTTGGGATGGCTCCGAGGAAGAGTTGTATGACCTTTTAGACATGTTATCTTCTATCTATAGAACAATTAATTTTTCTGTTGAGCAAGAACAAGGCACTCATCACTTTTTAGACTTACTCATACTTGCTGGACTTATGTTTTCTGTCCACCACAAAGTTGATACATTACCACAAATTGTCCATGCTACTGCCTTCCAGCCCCCATGCTTTGTAAATTCTGCTATTGTGGCTCTCATATATACAGTGTTCTTAGTTCCATCCACTCAAATATATGTAAACAAAGAGATGCAAATTATATCAGATGTAGGATGAAGGGTAGGTTATTTATTCCCTTTCAAAATTTAAGTATTTCCTCGACTGCATTAGGAAACTGATATATCCTCAGACATTCCTTTCTAATAAACAAGATTGCTGCATTATTCTTCCACCAACTCCTTATGTGGGCACTTTATCTTTATGCATAGCCCATCTCTTCACCAATTGTTCCCCAGCCTATCTTACATAGGTTGTTATGTAATGCTAAGGACAATGTTGCCATATATGAAAAATCAGGAGTTTATCCAATTCCATTGCAGAAGCTATTATCAGGAACAACTTTAATGTACATTGGAACCAAGTCTAGAATGTTCCAAGTTCCGGTAGCAGAACATCAAGAGGATATTGCCAATAGTAAACTCAAATTCATGTTTTTAAAAATAGTAGTAGGGCATGGTTAGATGCCCTTTTAGGCTAATACTAGATTACTGAAGTCGTGCTATGACAAAAGAATGTTATTCTTATGGGAAAATCTTTATATTGTGTTGTTTTCCCCCTGCAATACCCCTACTANGGGACGGGTTGTTCAGATAACTTATTTTTCGGATAATCGGTTATGTATGAAAAAATATATTAACCTATCCCATGATGAAATTTTTCTCCATTGCATGTCGCTTCGCATTGAATTTTCGTCAATGTTAAGCTTAACGTAAACTTTTTAAAATAATAATCGTGGCTATTGTATCATTAAAAATTATTTCTTTATTTTTAACAAACGAAATAAATATATTGAAAAATATAAAAACCAAAAAATATATACTTTACAAGTTGATCTAGTATCAAAAACGTTCAATTCAGCATGACACACAGTCCTCAGAAAAACACCACACAAAAATGCCAGGGCTGTCAGCTAAAACACACACACCAACAAAAAAAATATTGGAGTAGCCCAAGATATAGCCAAAGATTGCAGCGCCACAGCACTAGCAAAAATTTAAATTTGCCGACTGAAATGCTTTCGGTTAACAGACGTTTCGGATAACCAGCTTTTGGATAAATGACGCTCTACCGTAATATGTATATTGTTTCATGCAATAACGAATTAGCCAATTTTATTAATAATATTTTTCATAAATTTCATCAATTAAACATAAATCTTACTATTAAATATCAAAATATCATTATTTGATTTTGGAATTTCTATTATTTAAAAATTTTGAACAAATAAGATTAAGATGCATTCTTTATGAAAATAAAATGAATTAATTTTACCTTTATTTAAAATTTGAGGATTATCACATGGTTTGCATTCATTGAACAGTACACTAATTAGTTGATATGAATTTACATTATCTTTGAGGTTTAACAAAGCCCTAAATGAAATACAGAACAAATAGTTAAATACTTATAGTACTTTTCATTAACAATACAATTTTTCATTCATAAATTCATCTTAAAATCATTAAAAAATTAAAGCAGTTATTTTTATTTTTAAAATACCTCTTCATCCTTTTATAAGTTACTTCATTTGCTAACTTGCAAATGTGGTATTGAACATCATCCTCTATTCCAAGAGAATCAAATTTTTCTTCAAAAGACACACTTATATTTGCTTGAGAAACACGAGACACAACACCAGAGGCAATTGTCTCTCTGTTGTCATCACTTCCAGATGTTACTATTCCAACTATATCACCTGAAATAATTTTTCATAAAAATAACATTATATAATGTTAAATATTTTAATATTTAAAATTTAAATTTAACGTTTTAATATTTAAAAATTGTAAAAAATTAAAGTAAATTAAACTACCTGCTGTAAAGCCATGAGCCTCAAATGTTTTACCAGGAGTAAATGGTTCAAAAACACAAATACTTCTTCCAAACAAACCAGTATGACATGATCCCAAACGTAACTTTGATATACAAATCCCTTTTCGTTGCAAATTAGCAAGAGAAATGCCAGTTTGCATGCATCTATAAAAAATACTTTATTCATTAGATCACATTCTATTATTGTTTTTGTAATAAATTACTCAATTTATGTTTATACTTAATTTATTAAACATTAAATATAATAATGTTGGAATAATAATTAAATGTTTTTCCTCTAGATTTCTATAACTCTCTTGATAATACAATTTACAAGAGAACATTATCTACAATTGTTATATTATTTAAATATTGAAATAGCAGCTCGGTAAATACATCAACACTGAAATGAAAAATCAGTCTAGCATAGGGAAAATCGGGGAATTAAACCACAAAATGGCAAATTGCGCAGCAGCGTTATTGTGAATCAGCGTAAATTGAGATGGCATAAACCAAGGGCTACCTGTACTATATTTTTAATTCTAAGATATACTGTTTTACTTATTTTTTTACTTATCTACAGCAGAGATGCTTTTTACAATCAGTGGTATCATACAGACAAAAACAATGATCAATAATGCACTTGATAATCAATAATACACAATAATAAACAATGATCAATAATACAATCAATAAACAATAATGATCTATCAAGTAGACCAACCATGCTTCCATTCCCACAAGCAAGTATTGATTTTATAAGATTGAGGTGGTATCTTTGTATCCGTCTGTACCACATTTTGATGCAGTAATGCTTGCAAATTGCCTTATTCTAACAAATAAGGCAATTTGCACTGGTCACTCCATACCAAAGGTATTGTATTTGAGGGAAGTACTTTTTTCATATAATGAAGAACAATTATTTTCAATTTAACAGCACCATTTACAAGCAGAAGCATGATGTACCTATGGTCTCACCCTCTCTGCTGCTCTTGAAGAACTTATCATGAGGAATGTTGAATTTAGATATTTTAGTTCCCTGTTGGCTATTAGCTACCCACTCTTATATCTGCATTATGTAGATGTTATCCTGCTTGCTTGGGATGGCTCCGAGGAAGAGTTGTATGACCTTTTAGACATGTTATCTTCTATCTATAGAACAATTAATTTTTCTGTTGAGCAAGAACAAGGCACTCATCACTTTTTAGACTTACTCATACTTGCTGGACTTATGTTTTCTGTCCACCACAAAGTTGATACATTACCACAAATTGTCCATGCTACTGCCTTCCAGCCCCCATGCTTTGTAAATTCTGCTATTGTGGCTCTCATATATACAGTGTTCTTAGTTCCATCCACTCAAATATATGTAAACAAAGAGATGCAAATTATATCAGATGTAGGATGAAGGGTAGGTTATTTATTCCCTTTCAAAATTTAAGTATTTCCTCGACTGCATTAGGAAACTGATATATCCTCAGACATTCCTTTCTAATAAACAAGATTGCTGCATTATTCTTCCACCAACTCCTTATGTGGGCACTTTATCTTTATGCATAGCCTATCTCTTCAGAACTCATGGCCTCTTTTTACCAATTGTTCTCCAGCCTATCTTACATAGGTTGTTATGTAATGCTAAGGACAATGTTGCCATATATGAAAAATCAGGAGTTTATCCAATTCCATTGCAGAAGCTATTATCAGGAACAACTTTAATGTACATTGGAACCAAGTCTAGAATGTTCCAAGTTCCGGTAGCAGAACATCAAGAGGATATTGCCAATAGTAAACTCAAATTCATGTTTTTAAAAATAGTAGTAGGGCATGGTTAGATGCCCTTTTAGGCTAATACTAGATTACTGAAGTCGTGCTATGACAAAAGAATGTTATTCTTATGGGAAAATCTTTATATTGTGTTGTTTTCCCCCTGCAATACCCCTACTATCAATATTCTGCATTTATATTGATAGATAGAATTATTTAAACAATTCACATTGTGGATGCTCTAAAGATCTTTACACTTGAGGATTTATATTGTCGTTAATAATCTTGCACGCATCTTATTTTATTAGACTGTTCAAATTTTTATTGAATATTTGATATTCCAACCTCATGTCTTTATTTAATTTTAAAAAAGAAACTTTGCATTTATGTTCTATTCTTATTCTTATCATACAGATTAAAAAGTTAATTAAAGTAAAACCGTGAGCTGTTTTTTGTTATTTTTAATTATTCAAATTAAATATTTGACTCATGATTGGAATTAATAAATTTCAAATCCAATTTTGACATACCTTTGGAAAAGGGATGGCCATCACTCACCTAATTCACGACATATTATATTGTTTTTTCTAATTAATTGAAACTTGACAAAACTTAATAAAATTTGTTTAAAAATTTCTCTCCATAAAAATATAATTTTAAAATTCAGTTTTAAAATTGTGGCAAATCTTAGAATTGAAGAAATACAGCATAAAAATAAAAGTTATATACAAAGTTAATTAATCAGATGCGAGGTAAAACTAGAGTTGGATTACTGAAAATGTCAGATTACTGAGTGTTTTTGTAATTTTGCAATATTTAATAAGTTATATATGATCTGAATGTTGACATCATTGAACACTTACATCATGACATCAATGTACATTTTGTATCATTGCATACTGCTCTATGCATATGATTTGTTTACACATGCTCTTTAATCAATCCAAAGATGAAACAGTGTATGATTATAGTGTGTTAAGATTAACCAAAATGCTGAAAAATCATTACTTATTATTTCACAAAATCAACATTTATAATGATTTATGTGCAAAAATATTTATTTCTCTGGCATGTACTATATAAACATGGTTCTCAAAAGTTACATATGCTCTGAGTATAAAAAACTTGTTTTTCAAATGTATAAATACTATCTTTGAATTGGCCCATGGAAAAGAAAATACATCAGTTGTCCACATTACAAGAACAAAAAATTTATGACTTGCTCTAACATGTTCAAACAAATCCTTCATGGAATACTAACATGCCAGATTATCATCGAACAATTCTGGATTATTGAATTATTGCCAAATTAATGCTAGAAATGCCATAAAATTGTTTTACCTAAAAGCACTATTTCCAGTCAATATGAGTGGTATAAAAATGTCCCATTTATTAAAAAAAAAAAAAAAAAAAAAAGTCAATCACAATTTTTATTATTTTGAATAATTGACACAGCACAATTGGTTGAACAATGCAAGCTTAATAAAACCTTTGTTTTAAAACAAGTTATTTAATTTTTACTTGTTTTAAAATTTTTATTTGTATTTATAGCCATAGTTGTAATTATGCATTTTCCATTTAAAACTAAACATCATACAATAGATATTTCTTTTGAATATGCAATGTTCAGATACAAGTTTCTTGCATTTTGTGAAAGTTTGTACAGATGTGTTAGTGCATATTTTCCTTTAATGAGCTTTTGAACTCAGCACTTGCACCATTTGATTCCAACAGTTACTGTATTTTCAGGATGTTACGCCACGGCTTATCAAAGAAAAACTAGTGGTTAAAACATAAATGCAGCCTATCAAATATACAGTATAACAAACAATAAAACATTTAAGCGCTATCAATCACCTTAAAGTCAATCGTGCCACCTGAGCTGCATTTGAGTTTGGATTCAATTCCACGTATTGGTCTGCAAACTCCTTTGTAAAACAACAGCCCAGGTGTGAGAAATACAGTTATTAGCTTTAAAAACAATCATATAAATTACTCCTCAAGGCTACTGGTTTTAAAAGAGGGAAGGAGGGAGAGAGAAAGAGAGAAAGAAGTCATATATCTGTCAGTCAGGTCATCTGGACCAAATCAATTTAATTAACAACTGTTCTAGAGTTTTCCAATGATCTTTCAGTTCCCAGGCCATATATTTTGTACATATCAAAACTGGAGACCAATTTTGGGGAGGTCAGGTGGGCTAAGATCCTATTCATCCTGTAATTTTTCAGAAGATGAGGAAGTGGAAGATGTTGAATTAAATAACAAATTGTTAGAGGCAAAAATGACAGAACTATTCATCTCCAATAGTGAAGCCAGCAATTTTGAAGGTTTTGAGTGAAGGAAAAAAGGTTAATCCTTTGCTATGTATACATATATGGTATATTTATTTTCTGTGTACTGGTACTAAATAAAACTTTTTTTAGTGATTCAATGTTCTCAATATCATTATTCATTTATTGAAAGTTTAGGATTATTTTAAACATTTTCACTGTGGCGTAATGTCCATGCAGTATATCAAACAAAATGTTTTATAAATATTTGGTTTTTTAACAGTGCAGCCTGTAGTCCAGAAAACATTGTAAATGTTCTTGGTGATGGAACTGAAGAGATTTTCATCACTAATGGCCAAGTGGATAAAACAACTGAATACTAGTTGCTGGTCACAAATTCATGCTCAGGAGGTTGCTTTGAAATTTTCTGGGTTTTCTTCATGAGAATAATAAATAAATAAATATAATATCAATTAAATAAGAATCAGTTTCCTATAGAAAGACCTCCTGAGAGGCAACTTGACAAATTGTTCATATTGTTTTATCCCATCAAATCTGCTTGAATTTTTCAGGCTTAAAACTTCCCAAACAATCCTATCTTTTAATTAATATTTATTTCTAAATTTTTCAGATTCTTCTTCTAGCCACAGTGATTTGCTGTAGAAGGATCAGGAGAGAGAAAATTGATCTCTATCATTAACAGTCACTATCATTTTCAAAGGTTATACTACAGAAATTCACTAATTCATTGCTTTTGTGCTGAAAATTTTCTTCTACTTCACCATCAGAATCCCCTTTATCAACATTTTGCAATAATTGTAAATAACAATCCTAAGTTGTCATTTTCTATTCATTGTTGCCATTATACCGTTTGAAAATTCAACTATCTATACTGACTGATATAAATGCCAGACTTTTAATGCTAATCTCTTAAGACAATCATGTAAATTACTCCCCAAGGTAACCAGTTGTAGAGAGAGAGAGAGAGAGAGAGATACACACACACACACACACACACAGACATCATACATTTGTGATTAGCACTTTTTGGTAAACATGTGTATACTTGTTAATTATTAAAAATTTTGTCAAAATGTTTTAGAGATCTATTCTAGAACAAAAAACAATAAAAATTATAAAAGTACAATTGCATGTAAAGAAATGTTAAATTTAAGAAGCTAATAACATCGTGTTCCAATCAAATTGACCAGTATGGTGCTTCTAATGTTAACTACCTTATACTGTAATCATATTGAAAATGAAAACAAACTTATCATAGAACAATAGAAAGTGATGGAATTATTAAATTTTATGTTAAATATTACTTACTGGCTTTGTTCCACTTCTGCATCACGTTCAATATTAAGTAATTCAAGATGTTTCGATACAAATTTATCTACTGCCATCTAAAGAAAAAACAAGCAAAGTTTAAATAAATCTTTATATTGATGACAATAAAAAATGACAACATAATCCATATATTAAGCAAATCTAAAGAAGCAAGATATTTACTACAGAAAAAATTTAAACACCAATATTAATTTTCTTATTACTGTAATTATAAATGAAAAATTAGGACACTTATATATAACTATTTATACTATTATAATCATCATTGAAAAAGTAAAGCTAATTATTTATATGATTAACTAATCATATAAATAATTTATTTTGAATTAGCTTTATTTTTTCAACTTACATAATATAATACAATATTAGTACTCAAGAAAATGAATTACAGATTTTTTTGTTTTCTTTTACATTTTACTTATCTTGTTTTTATAATGTTTGTCCCGTAGGCATTAAATGAGAGCCATTTTAAAGCTCATTTTGGGTTTGACCAGACAGACAATGGGAGTGATGATGAAGAGAGATGGGACTCAACATATTCAAGTTAGTCCAGTTAGCAAACAATTACTTCAAAAACAGAAACATATACAATCTTCCTATATACTTCAAACATTATGTTAACAATACAGTGCAGTAAAACAATACATAGCAGTAAAGAATTTGTTTTAAAAATGCAGACAAAACTTTACAACAAAAAGACAAAGAACAAATCATAACACATTCTTAACAATGTATCTTGATACTTCTGTAATTGAAGAATTAATTAACTACAGTTACTCTCAAAAGTATGTTTAGGCTTTCAATTTTACAAGATATTGATATAATATAATATTGTCATGCCTTTTCCAGTACTAGCTATATTTGAGATGCATATTCCATTTCTTGACATTTGGGATAAGTTTTAAAATGTTCTAATATTCTAACCAATTATATTTGGAATGTAACTTAAGATCTTGTTTTGTTAAAGATATATTGAGTGTAAGAACTCAATTTCAGAGAATTTTTAAATCAAACAGAAATATCATCATTATTAAATCTATTGTATACATATATATGTAATACTTAGTTTAAAATTTTACATTTATATGTCCAAAAAACATTAGAAATGGTGGCACTGAGAATTGAAAATCATAAAAATTTTGTTACAAACATTCTATATTGAGAATAAGAGGTCTAAGAGGCCCTTGGGGTGAGTGAACAAAGCAAGCTTGGAGCAAAGTCCCCCTAACATAAAGTATACATAATTTCATTATAATTATTGTAATTAATTAAAATATATTTATTATATTAATTAAGAAATAAATTTACAATTTATATACTCTATACATAGTAAAAATAAATAAAATAATTCAGTAAGTGATCAATGAAGATCTGATTGATAACTGATTTTGAATCTACCAACAGTTGACCACACATTTTATATGCATAAAATTATAATAAAAAGCAACTGACTTTATATACAATATATTATAAAATATATGTTATTATTTATATAATTGAATAAAGTAATTATATTACTATCTTAATTATTCAAAAGTTATATACAACATATTAATACAGGTGACTAGCCACTGTGATTACTGAGTTTAATTAATTAATTAATACATCTTTAACAGTAATAAAATTTAAAATAATGATAACATTTTTGGCTTGGTTAACTAGCCATTTTCAGGCATTACAGTTAAAAGTAGAAAGAGTATTCCACTTCAGAGACCCCGCGTTTCTTTATGCAGCGCTCGAGAAGCGCTTTACAGCGAACACACTGAAACTGGTTTCTAATTGGCCAACACTGCTCGTGATGTCATTTCGCTACACTCTCGCTGCATAAAGAAACGCGGGGAGAGCTAGACTTATATACAATAATTCGCTTTGGTCTTTGAAAATTTCTGAACTCTGGCTCATAACAGACGGGATCTAAAAACATTATTTTCATCCATTAACAATAAATCTGTTGTTACAAAAAACACAGGAGAAACAACATAAGAAATCATAATTGAAGCTAGTTTTAGATCATTTATTTATATACTGTACATAAGTTAACTTATGTACAGTATATAAATAAATGTTCTAAAACTAGCTTCAATTATGATTTCTTCTGTTCAAAAAATGGTTCCTAATTAATATTCCTTTTTTTTTATATTTATATTGTGTTGTGCCTTCTATTTCTATACTACTAATGAATTAGTTAGTAGTCACATAAGGTGGGAATTTTATTGAATTTGCATTGAAAAGTTTTTATTACTACTCTTCTTGAGATTAAATCCTGAGTGCACCATTAGTTATGTAAATATAAAATGACTTGTGTTGCTACTGTACATAAGTTAACTTATATACAGTAGCAACTTAAAAGCAACTTCTACCGGAAATCATAAGCATTATTTTAACACTTAATATACTTTATATAAACACACATAAGTCATTTTATATTTACATAACTAATGGTGCACTCAGGATTTAATCTCAAGAAGAGTAGTAATAAAAAAACTTTCCAATGCAAATTCAATAAAATTCCCACCTTACATGACTACTAATTCATTAGTAGTATAGAAATAGAAGGCACAACACAATATAAAAAAAAAGGAATATTAATTAGGAAACATTTTTTGATATCTCCTTTTTCTTTGGAGGGTGCCAAGGCCCCTTGGCTTCCCTTCTGGGTGTGCCATTTACTGTACATAACATATAAACCATACAAAAATAAGACATTACTAAAAGTATTATATATTATGTGCTTTCGTCGATAGTTATTACCTGGCAATTCCAGTTGAATTTTCGATTAATTAACAAATGAATGGCGTTTTTTGAATTAAACAACTTCGAAGAACTCGAACAGAATCGAGAAAAAATTATTTGCATAGCAAATTAATACAAAACTTTACATATCTTTCTTATAGTAAAATTAAACATATGAAAGTAAAATTTTTATTTTACACTTTCTTTTAAAAATGTAATAATCGATGTGTTTATTTAATGATAAACATAAGGATTCAAATTATTTGGTCAAAAACTCACGATGACAACTTATATACACCACAAATCGATGTAAATACACGTGTTAACTGGCGCAAAACACCAAAGTACGCGAAAACATAGTTACTCAAAATCGTCAACAGAGGGCGTTTCACCTTCAAAAATTCAAAATTTCCGACAGAGGAGTAAATTCTTTAGTGAAAAATAAAATGCAATAATATCGAACTAATATTTTTAAAGTAAACATTGAAATGTTTACATTCTTCATATATACCAAGTTATGCATAATATAACTTAAAACAATAAACAGATATCGCGATATGAAATTTACGAGGTATTTCATAGCGAAATTACTACAGAAATTTCAATCTAATATTTTAGTATTGTATTTTAAGTTTTACGTGAAATCTTGCCTCTCTTATAACCCTATTTTTCAGCCACGCACGTAATAAGTAATAATAACACTGATAATATGCTTTTCTAATAGTTCTGTTTCAATCATATATTGCAATGGCCGGATGGTCGAGCGGTCAATATGGTAGCCTACCGCTTCTAGGGACCCAGAATCGAATCCAGACGGATCGAAAAATCCCCCAAAAATTTTTCGGGGATGGTCCGTCCAAATATGTTGAGCCCCGTCCTTCACCACCATTGTGGGCCTGGACGGACCCATAATGGGCTTGCGAAAAAAAGGCCCTTTTCCTTAGTTCCCTCAGGACAGAAAGAATTAAAAATAAAAAGCTATATAATACAGTATACAATATATACTATGAGAATTAACTTTTCATATACAATATTTTGTATATAATGCATTCTGTTAGAATTATTTTATCGTTATATTGCATAAAAAGTTTAACAAATTCTTTACAATAGCTTTAATAATTTTAAAAGCGTAAACAAACAATTTAAAAACAATTACAGTAACTAGAATTAATAATTATAATTGTAATTTTCATCATATGTCAGTTATAAATATTTTGTTAATTAGAATGATATGATAATAATTAGTTGTTCATCTTACAGTTTTACGTTACGTAAATATTCAAATGAATGCTGTGTCAGATCAATATTACGACTAAAATTGACCATTAAATGTTATTATTTAAAGTATTGCGCATAAAATAAACAACTGTCTCTTGGTCAATATACATTCGCCTGAAAAATTCAATCAATAAATGCATTTTATTGAAAATTGACTGCTTAGAAATTCAATTCCTTAGTTATTTTCTTAGGGGAGAAATAAGATAGGAGTTCTGTCGCAACAGTTACGTTACAAAACAATATTATTATATTAAGTTGAATAAGAATAAATATAGATAATCAAGTACTAAATCAACTACTAAGTACTCTGAACATAAATATATTGCAATTCTTGCATGTCCATGGATGAAGCATCCAAATTAAGAAAAGTGGTAAATCCAATTTGTGCTATACATCCTCTAAGCGAAATAGGAAGAATATTTGGTTTAAACACCATATTAGAATGCGATTGTGCTAATGAAAAACGACAAAAACAAGTCTATAAATTGAAATTATTTCGCATTTATTCAATTGCGTTTGAATGTTTCATGTGGATAATGACGTTACTTTTCTTTCTGATTCTAATTGACGACAACTCGTTCTGTGCTGGATGGAATAAACTTTATGACGACGGCTCGTTTATTATGAAAATTATAACTTTTCTTATTGGCTTATACTTCGCTTTCGAATCATCTATATTTCGAAAACACGAAATACATTGGACGGGAAATAAAAGCGCATGCAACAGAGAAACGGAATTCTGGATATCTATTGAAAAAATGAACTATTGTTGGTTATTCGTATTTGTTTCTGCAGGAATAATAATTTCACTGGCTCTTGATTTATTTATATATCCTGCAATGACAAAGATTAATTCACCAACGGTTGCTCTAATGTGTTCAACATCTTACATGATTTGGGCAGTGATGGTTGCTGGACAAATAATAACTCTCATTTCCTTAGTGTATCCAATAATATTTTTACTTTTCAAAAGATTTCAATACATACAATATAAGATAGATACCATACATGATAATTCACGGCAACTGAAGAAGATAATTGAAAATATGATTGACAGACACACCGAAGTATGGGAATTATTTCAAGACATAAATAAATTATTTAGTGATCTAGCAGCTGTAATGTATTTGTTTTTCTGTTATATTATTTGTTTGTTTTGTTATGCGATTATTTTCATGGAAATGGATTGGATCCTGAAAATAATACTTGGATTTCTTCCCGGAGCATTAATTATCGGAATTCTCGTTATTGCATTTCTAATGTCTAGGTTAACTTCAATGGTAAGAAAATAGATTTAAATGCTTCTGACTAAATAAAAATATTGAGCACATTCGTTTTCCGAACAATAAAGGTAATGGGCCAGCTTTCGAATTTGCATAATAATGATCTATTCCAGATTATCATTACACAAATTAGGCAGTCTGTCCATAAAAGTTCGACTCCCATTCTTTACCATCAATCTGATGGTGAAGAACGGAAACTTTTGTCTCAGATCTCTGTTGTCTGTCTGATGGAACCAATGACGGAAATCGAAAAAAAAAGTCTTTATTAGTTTACATAGAACAAAAAATGTTGACAGGTTTGATAAGATACTGTGATGCAACATTTTGGTGTCACTGGTGGGCTAAACAAAAAGATTTTAGAAACACTAACTTTCGGATACTCTGTGCTTCAACTTCCTGTCAGATTTCTTAGAGCGAAATACCAAATAAATTTGGCAGTTTGCTTTAAAAAGCATATTGCATTATTTAACATGCAATATTTAAATTGTGTAATATAAGAACTTCGCTTAACTTTAGACGATTCTGAATTTTGTAGTTCTAATAGTATCTCGTTACTTTTATCTTTTGGTCGATTATTCAGAGATGTAATAGTTCCAATATAATCTAGACATAATCTAGCAATGCAGAATAATTATTTCAATTATTTATATGCTTATATTAACTTTTCAGGATTAATTTAATAAATGACTAAATTAATACAGGTCAATTTAATCAATGAATCAATATATACTATAATACGCGGCGATTTTAGTAATTATTCAAAATGCCCGAGCATTATAAATCAAAACCTATTAATCCCTTGACCCTAATCGTATAAAATAATTTATAAAATAATAACATAATTTAAAGAATAAAAAATAAAGTAAAATTTATAAAATAAGAAATTCTAATCAATCAAGATGTTTATGATTAATGTTTATTATAAGAAATTTATTAAAATTTTATTATTGAATTTATAAAATTATTGTATCATATAGTTATTTATGTTTTTTATGCTTAAATTTTTATTTTTTTAAACAAAGATATATAGTAATTTTATTGCGATTGGAAGAATTTCATCTGCAAAACTTCCTCTGGTATTAAAATTAAAGGTAATCATAAATAATTAAAAATTTATTTTCAAAATTACAAGTAAACATTTGTGATATTTTCGAATGAATTTATTTTCAGATATTAAATTTTATGAAGAGATTTGGAAGAATGCCTCTTGGCGTATCAATAGGCGGATTTTTCTTCGTAAGAAAGGACTTCGTTTTAAGAGTAATTAAATACATTTTATTTTATAACAGTCATTATTAATTTAATTATAATAATGCGATTAATTAATATCAATTCTTTTAAGTTTATTTTAAAATTTTAGTACAAGTGAACTCCCCGATTGCCAAGGGATCTTGGCAATCGGGGAGTTCGTTTTCAGAAAGTGATGCAGTTAAGTTAGTTAAACTGTAGTTGATAAGTGCTTCTTGTTTTTAATTACTTATAGTTTTATCCATTTTGGACGTGCTTATGTACTGTACTAGGACTTGTTATACTGATGGAAGAGAAACATACAATTTTCAATTAAAATATAAACTGTAGTTGCCAAAACAGAGGTACTATGGGGCAGAACAGTTCTTTAAAGCCCTGGTCACACTATGCCATTTCTAGCCGCGCAGGCGACTGCAACTGCAACAAGCGAGAGTCGTACGCGTCTTCTCGTGGTCACACATTGTTCATTGACTTGCAACTGGGAAACACGTGACCCTATAATAAACCAATAAAATTACTGTAGCTTGTTCTTGACTACTTTCGTGAGTTTTCTGACATTTTACGTTCTACTTCAGAGTATTTACGGAATTTTAGCCACTTTTCTTATTAAAATAGCAAGCATTTCATTTTCTGGAATGAATAAAAGAAAAAAGGCGATTATTTTGATAGAACTGGCGAGAATACACAAAAAGATAAAATCTTCGATAAAACGAAGAATTAAAATCCTACAGGTTCGTGAGCCTGAATAAGCTCGATCAATCTCGATTCTGTAAAAGCATTAATCCTCTATCAGCCATGATGATGAACTATTTTCAATGTTGTCACTGTATGACGTGGCACAAAGGCGTTTGTTGATTGGATACGCGTTTGCAATCGTCGCGAGTAGAACAAACTTTTTTTTTTTTTTTCTAGTTGCGGTCGCAGTAGCGCCGGTTTTCGAGGGGGATCACTAGTTAACGGGAACAGCTATCGTGGTTGCAGTTGCATGCGCGGCTAGAAATCGCATAGTGTGACCAGGGCTTTAGTCTTTCAAATCATCTAGTATCTTTACAAATGAAACTACTTTTTTCATTGCTTGCCAAAAGTGTCATAGTGGCAAGTTTTTATATTAATGCTTTTTTTTATTTTTTTAAGGAAATTTCTTTAGCATGTCCTGAAATTCTATGATACCAAATTTAGTTGCATTTAGACTTTTAAATGTGTCTCTAGACAGCGTTATGTATATAGATAGATAGATATATGTACATATGTGTATGTGTGTTTATATCTAGTATGCTTATATGGATTAGAGGAATTAGAAGAATCGTTCCTTTTACAAATAGCAATATTTATAAAATTTCTTTAAAATACTTATCAAAGAACATGAGGATATTTTTATCAACAGAAGATAACTTCATATATAAATATGGTCTCTTCTATTTTATTTTATTTTTTTTTCGTGTGATAGTATTTATTTTAAATAGATAGGTATAATTTGCTTCAATAATTAATTTTTTAAAAATTTTTACAGGTTATGAGTTCTCTCGATTCTACTTTC